ATATTACTGATTACTGGGTGAAGGCATCTATGAATTTATCACTTCTATATTACTGATTACTGGGTGAAGGCATCTATGAATTTATCACTTCTATATTACTGATTACTGGGTGAAGGCATCTATGAATTTATCACTTCTATATTACTGATTACTGGGTGAAGGCATCTATGAATTTATCACTTCTATATTACTGATTACTGGGTGAAGGCATCTATGAATTTATCGCTTCTATATTACTGATTACTGGGTGAAGGCATCTATGAATTTATCGCTTCTATATTAATTGTACTCCTTCCAGGTGGCGATTTGAGAATGAATTCCCTGAAACTTTGGCATTGCAACTGTTCCCAATGTTGTCATCATAACCAGAGTTAGTCATTGTAATTGAACCGATGAGGTCAAAATAGCCAGAGACAATAAGATTGTCATTGACCGCAATGACGTCAAAATAGCCAGAGAAATAAGATTGCAATTGAACCGATGACGTCAAAATAGCCAGAGACAATAAGATTGTCATTGTCCGCAATGACGTCAAATTAGCCAGAGAAATAAGATTGCAATTAAACCGATGACGTCAAAATAGCCAGAGACAATAAGATTGTAATTGACCCTAATGACGTCACATCGACAGACAATAATACTTCCGGGGGATGCGTAGTGCAGACATGTTGTACATGTTCATTAATGTTTACAATGAACTATCAATATCCTTTTTATTAATCATTGCATATAATTGTTCTACTCTAAGATATAACCTCAAATATCTCTGTTGCCCCCTTTGTTTTTTCTTTTCGAGCAATCAATACGTCTATTTCTGGGCGCCCAACCGATCGCTGCAAACTTAGAACAAGGGTCGTGTACAAACACTGAAGTAGAAGAACAACAAACAATCACTTTAGCCTCAGTTTGTGCACTCAATATTTCCCGTTTGTACACAGGTACAACACGGATATAACAAATAAGATAAGAGATCTACCACGATAACGTTGAAGACCTGACACTCTGTAAACGTATATCAGGTATATGATATGTGCCTAATAGTCACAGGCATTGTCCCGACGACGGAATCAACTAATGGTTATTGGGGAACAATACACATAGCTCATAGACTAGCTTAACCAATATTTCGGACTGTGGACATACCAGTATTTCACGACTTTGAGAGCTGTATGTGAATGCAGGATAATAAAAATTTGACATTTGGTTTCGGACTGTCAAAGTGAGTGAGTGAGCGAATAGAGGGTTTTCGTCAATTTTAGCAATATTACAGGAACAACACGGGGGACACCAGAAATGGGCTTCACACATTGTACCCATGTGTGAAACCAAACTCGGGTTTCGGCGTTATGGTTTAGTTGTTTGATAAACTCAGTACAGCATTAACAGGGTACATTGTGTACGTGCAAACCGGCTTTTCGGATATCTGCTTTCATATATATTTTACTTTGGAGCTACTTGGGATTCTGGGTTACCTGCCCCGAGTGAAATAAGTCAGTAGTGAGTGAGTTTGATTTTACGCCGCTTTTAGCAATATTCCAGCAATATCACGGCGGGAGACACCAGAAACGGGCTTCACACATTGTACCCATGTCGGGAATCGAACCCGGGTCTTCAGCGTGACGAGCGACCGCTGTAATCACTAGGGCACCCGACCGACCCTGTTTGAGGACAGACCTGTTGAAGATATTTACAAATTTGAAAAATGATGCGCGATGAAATTTCCTATATTGACTTGTACCACATGTGCTCAAGGTTTACAGGTGAACAATTAACCTGTCTCTAAATGGATTTGTAACGGGGACCACCGGTCGGGCAGGACACGCTCACCACAACTGGTATCATCACTACTTGATAGTGATTCATCAAATATGTTTATGATATAGTCGAAATCATACCATCGACTGGGCTTTTAGAAGATATTTCTTTTGAATATAGGTGTTAAAGAACGCCGTCTTGTTTTGTCGCTTTTAATTATAATGATTTAGATATGTTTATCAAGTCCATGCATCCTTCAAATGAAGTTGTACAGATTAAACATACTCGTTGGCATAAGATGGTTTCCATATTTGTACATTGCAGTGCAGTTTAAAATGCTGACATTCAAAAGTCATTGCCTGTAGAAGCACGACTGCACACCAGGGTTTGACACTGGCTTGTACGTTGGCGGAAACAGAAGGTGCATTTAACACCTCTGTCAAGGCGGGTCACTTTACTTTGGTAAGTCCAAGGTGATGCCGCTCCTGACGTTGACCACTTTGGTGTAACCCATGAGTGAGTGAGTGAGTTTGGTTTTACGCCGCTTTTAGCAATATTCCAGCAATATCACGGCGGGGGACACCAGAAATTGGCTTCACACGTGTAACCCATGAGCAGTGGCATGGTGCTGACAAACCATGAATCACAATCAAAGCAAATATGGGACTCGAACCCACAACAAGGGGATCCTGGCACGGTAACAGCGTCAGTGGTCATACGGTGCCGCCGAATGATGCTTTGGTCATCTGTGGCGCCCCTCACCTTCATGAGGCTCACACATGGTGGTAACAAGAATCAGACTATGCCTTTCTGTGAACGTTAACACTAGGGGTCAAATAGAAAGATCGGCAGGGAAATTGACCCAACGTCACATTTAACATTCAACATATTCAAACAACAATCGTATCTACACGGGGTCTGAAAGTAAGTGTCAGCAAACTTGCTGAAGCTACCGCTTGAACGGTGACACCAATGTCATGGATGTGTTAAAATAAATGCTAAAGACACTCACATGATAAAGTCGGAATCGTTCAATCGACGTTGCTTTTAGCAGAGATGTCTAACAAATATGGAAGCTTCTAGCATGATCTTGATCTGTTAATTTATGAGCAGAGACCACGTACACAATAGTTATTCTGAACATCTAAAGTAAAGTAGCTGAATAGTTAACCTGTGTAAAAAAATACTCATTCTAACAGTAAACATAATAGAAATATCCACTTACATATTGGAGCAAGTCTCCTTTGAGAAATAAACTGTTTTGATTTTTATTTACAAGTCGTTGAAAATAAACCCGAAATCAAAGGCTGAAAACAGTGGAATATCTGCAACGAAGATTTTGCATCACTTCCAATTTTTACCTTCTGTATAAAACATACATGGAAGCTGAAGTCCTTAATATTTTAAGAATGTATGTTTATTAATAGAACCACACTGCAGAACAACATCACAGTTGTTGTGTGTAACTGACCCTGCTTCAGCTGAAGGGAATTGAACGGATGTAGCGCTCAATATTAACAATACTTCCATAGAATACAGTGACGTCACGGATCGAGGCTTGTCATGAGGAGAATTATCAAGTTTGTGGGTCACGTGATGAGATTTATATGTTATTTGACAAGAAACGCCAAATGTTGTGTTTATTATGTTACAGATTTTCTTGCATATTAATGGTTTTACTCTGAAAACCATCGAGTCACTGAAGTAGACTAACATATAGTGGACAAAATATCGGGTGAAATACATGAGGGTTTGAGGACTTAATTCTACTCACAGAACTCCGTGCGTCTTGCATGTGAACTATAACTTAATGCAAAGTATTGGCGTCCTCAAACAAGGTCCGTGTTAGGGGCGGCTTACCTGCAGCGCGGGAGTGCGCGTAATTGCAAATGCAACTTGAATATTGGCGAGTAAATCTTGGAGTCTTGTATAAGAAGGCACCTTCGAACGGGTGAGGTGCAACAGTATTCAGACAGATCTTGGGTGAGATACAACAGTATTGAGACCTGTAGATGGTGGGTGAGTTGCAACAGTATTGAAGTATTCAGACAGATGGTGGGTGAATTGCAACATGTGCAGTATTCAGACAGACAGTGGGTGAGGTGCAACAGTATTGAGACCTGTAGATGGTTGGTGAGTTGCAAAAGTATTGAAGTATTCAGACAGATGGTGGGTGAGGTGCATTAGTGTTCAGACAAATTGTGGGTGAGTTACAACAGTATTGAGACCTGTAGATGGTGTGTGAGGTGCAACAGTACTGAAGTATTCAGACAGATGGTGGGTGAGATGCAACAGTAGTGAGACCTGCAGATGGTGGGTGGGGTGCAACAGTATTGAAGTATTAGGACAGATGCTGGGTGAGGTGCAACAATAGTGAGACAGACAGTGGGTGAGGTGCAACAGTATTGAGACCTGTAGATGGTGGGTGAGTTGCAACAATATTCAGAGAGATGGTGGGTGAGGTGCAACAGTATTGAGACCTGTAGATGGTGGGTGAGTTGCAACAGTATTGAAGTATTCAGACAGATGGTGGGTGAGGTGCACCAGTATTGAGACAGAGAGTGGGTGAGGTGCAACAGTATTGAGACCTGTAGATGGTGGGTGAGTTGCAACAGTATTAAAGTATTCAGACAGATGGTGGGTGAGGTGCACCAGTATTGAGACAGACAGTGGGTGAGGTGCAACAGTATTGAGACCTGTAGATGGTGGGTGAGTTGCAACAGTATTAAAGTATTCAGACAGATGGTGGGTGAGGTGCACCAGTATTGAGACAGACAGTGGGTGAGGTGCAACAGTATTCAGACAGACAGTGAGTGAGGTACAACAGTATTGAGACAGATTGTGGGTGAGGTACAACAGTATTCAGACAGTGAGTGAGGTACAACAGTAATCAGACAGATTGTGGGTGAGGTGCAACAGTATTGAGACCTGTAGATGGTGGGTGAGTTGCAACAGTATTGCAAACTCGAGTCACAAGATAAATAACATGATATGACTACGACCGTGGTCAGTCAACTATGGAACGGAAACTGCAAATATCCTGCTTCTAAATTGAGCGGATGACTTAAATATATGCAAATGCCACCTGTGTTGACACATTCGACCGAATAGAAACAGTCCAAGGGTGGTATGTCAAAATGACCTATTTTTATCGTTGAACATTATAAAAAAAATGTATTTGAAACCGTACTATCTCTGTGACCTAAATCACCACGAGGTTTGCTGTTAAGCTGATAAAGGTTTGAGCGAATAAAGGTGTGTAGCGTCATACTGTCTGTACTCTATCAACAGTACCTGGTGTGATGTTGCGACGTAGATATAGGTATCCTGCGCCTTTCTATGTCTGTCTTTGCCTCCTTACAGCAGGTGGTTATGTATGGTGGAGGAGTGGTCAAGATGTAAGTATTGCTTAACATTGATATCATATTTCATAACTGTAACTGCCATTTACCCTCTTGGGAAGGGAGTAACCTGGTCAAAATATATACGTTTGCTCTATTTCAGGAACATCATCACAATACCCAGCACCATACCCTTTAGCATACCCAGCACCATACCCTGTAGCATACTCTGCACTTTACCCAGTAACATACTCAGCACCATACCTTATACAATACCAAGCACAATACCCAGTAGAATACCTAGCAGCATACCCTGTACCATACCCAGCACTATACCCAGTAGCATACTCAGCACGATACCTTATACACGTTTATGTATTAAGAAATACGTTACTGTTTTCATTACCTTCGATAGCCGCGAACAATTTGAAACTGACACTTCTAAACAATAGTTATGACACCGTGCGTAAGAGACATTGACGCTGACCGCATCACCGTTGTTAACCCGTTAATCACCCGAGATTGTTGCACAGCAACTGGTATTACGGGTCGCTGATGCTGAATACGTCTGACCGACCCGTTGACAGGAGCTACGCACACCCACTTACATCGAATGTACGAACATGTCATACTTATTATCAACCGTTTAACCTATAGCCGTACGTCGCTTTAATTTCCGAATAAACAACAAAATAGTAGCGTATACGTTTTTAACGCTTTTTATTCCAACACCAAGAGTGTAGGATATCATCGTTTACTGTACAATCATCGGTGAAACTGTTTAAAATGCGACTCATCGAGTTGTGTCTACCTCTAACATAAAACGTCAAAAAAAGGGTTTTCAAATTATACTTCCAAACGTACACGCTTTCAGAGCAGCCAACAAATAAGACAAATCTTTAAAGTAAACGTCACAACCGAAATCCAATACTGGCAAACATTTACCCGAGGTGTTATAAGAGTCAGCCCTAGAGACACGGATGAGGACCTCACACTATACACCCAAGAGGCTAACTCCAGTCACAACACACAACCCAAAATTGTCAGTACCCGCAGAATATACACAACTAGGAATGGAAAATCTCACCCCACACCAACCGTAATCATCAACTTGACAAATACGACAACACGACAAATAAACACACAACCAACCAACATGGACACCTCAACCCAAAACATAAGCGTAGATGATTCACTCACAACAGAATATGACCCTCTCGACACATCGAATGTCTTCTTTAAAAAAAAAACATAACCATAAATCACGAAACCAGACAGGATTCAAAACCCAAAACAACCTTACAATGTTACTAGCATATATAGTCAAACAAAACACCCCCAGCGCCAGCATTGAATCCTTGCACACAGTGGCTTCAAACTAAATCTTACTAGTTCTGCGCAATAACGGGCCTGATGGCCTGGTATAAACTTGTTGCACCATCTACAGGGTAACACACAACCGCCAGCAAAATGTCCCATATTACTGCATTTATAGCAGCCATAGTTGGCTGAATGGGGTCACGTTTCTGTCTGGCTATGCGCATGGGACACGTGTATGATGTGTGGTCGGTACTACCGCATCCTCCGAACTAGTTTCAGTTGTAGATGTATCGTAGTCACTAGTGTCGGCAAAGTCGCACTCAGACGTCGCGCTGTCGTTCCTACTGTCCCGGGAATCGCTTCTACAACTACCGCTACTATAGTTATCCTTATCAGCACTACGTACGCGGTCCCACGATTTATAACCTCGTTGACACCACGTCATGTCGATATCGAATGACGAGGGCGAGGTAATTTCGCGTATTAACACCCTGAATACCCGTACAGTCGGGCTACGAGTTCTGGTTTTATACGTAGAGCTGACCTTTAAGGCGTAACAGCGGTAACACGAGACAATGTGTGTAGATCTCAGGGGTTAACCTCTAGCATCGTTATACCGTCCCCCGCATTATTTTGACAGCTATATACCGTAACGTAGTGCTTTAAGGTAACGCGTGTTTGCATTACGAGTAGGGTACATCTGTATGTATACATCTATTGCCCCGTCAAATATATTCCCTCTAAATCTATAAGTTTCGGGTGTCGCGGGCGTCAGATCTAACATCAAATAAGTTTTAGGCAATTTCGTCGTCTTATAATACGCCTCTCGTATACATTTTGTTTTCGTGGGATATACTTGACGAGCTAATGTTTCGATTTGAGACCCATCTCTCGGGTTTTTATAAACTACCATATGAGTACTATTTAAACTAATAACTCGATGGAGTTTCGTTTTAGCAAATACATTTTGCTGTAAATATATCAATGATACATTTCTGTGCCTCGACTTTTTCACGAACCATCTAAGTAGCTCAGTCTGTTCCTCGGACGTAATATCGCCCAGAAAATCGTCTACGACTATCCAACTCTTATCTCGAACTAACATTTCTGCTTCGATGACGTTACGCATAAAGTATATGGATATACCGTGTTTCGCGCAGAAAGACGTACAGAACCTGTTGTTCGCTAAATACCCACACGATGGCATCGGGTTTTTCGCACAGCGGTAAATCGTTATCTGAACTAGTTAGTTACTTATATACAAAGGTGGTCTTTCCAGCAGCACTACTTCCACTTATCAATACGCGGAGAGAGTGGGTTCGAATCCCGGTCGGGACTCAACCCCAAAAAAGTACGAGAATATAACATTTGTTACATTTGACCACTTTCTAAATGGCATTGTGTATTCATATCTACCTATAGGTATTTAAAAAATCGTTTAGATAACCTACTCCAAATTTCCTATTCAAATTAAGCAGACTCCTCTCGAGCTGGCCAGGTGCGGGTTATTCTACACGGAAATAAACGATTGCGTTCAGTGCTATATGTGCGGTATTAAACTGTACAAATGGAAATATGAAGACAAAATCTTACGAGAACATAGAAGACATTCTCCAACTGCGTCTACCTGAAGACCGTATTTGGCTGTCACTCCGCACCATCCGAACGCACAGGTTCCTGAATCATTTTGCGGGCAGAAATAAGCCAATCACAGGACAGGGTAAAATATACGTCATCGTTACTCAGAGGTGGGGATAATTGTTTTGCTGGCAGAGATCAGCCAATGACAGGACAGAAATATATGACGTCATTACTCTGGGTTTTGGGGGTGGGGGAAGGGGACCCTGTGGGCAGAAATCAGCCAATGAAAGGGCTGCAATTGAAAAACGGACAAAAAGTGCACTATATAATACTATAGCATACTCAACACCACACCTTATACAATACCCAGCACACTACTCGGAAGAATACCCAGTAGATTACCCAGCAAGATACCCTGTACTATAACCTGCACCATACACTGTAGCATACCCAGGACCATACCCTGCACCATGCCCTATAGCATACCCTGCACTATATCCAGTGGCATACTCAACACCATACCTTATGCAATACCAATCACAATACCCAGTAGAATACCTAGAAGCATACAAATACCCTGTAGCATACCGAGGACCATACCCAGCACCATACCCTGTAGCATACCCAAGACCACACCCAGTACAATACCCAGCTTCACAACCAGCACTACACCCAAAACCACGCACATGACGACACCATCACCACACCAAGCACCATACCCAGCACAAAGTACTTTACCCAGTGGAATACCCAGCACCATACCCAGCATCATACCAGCACCACACCGCGCACCAAACCAAGCACTTCACACTGCAAAATACCCAGCACCACACCCAGCACTATACTCAATAGTATACTCAGCACCATACCCAGCTCCAAACCCAGCACCAAACCCAGCACATACCCAGCACCACACCCAGCATCATACCCAGCACCACACCCAACATCATACTCAGCACCACACCCAACATCATACCCAGCACCACACACAGCACCACACACAGCATCATACGTAGCACCATACCCAGCACCACACCCAACATCATACCCATCATCATACTCAGCACCAAAGCCAGCACCATACCGTGCACCATACCCAGTACCACACCCAGCACCATACTCAGCACCATACACAGCACCACACCCAGCACCACACCCAGCACCACACCCAGCACCACACCCAACATCATAGCCATCATCATACACAGCACCACACCCAGAACAATACCCAGCACCATACCCAGCACCACACCCAGCACCATACCCACCATCACACCCAGCATCACACCCAGCACCATACCCAGCACCACATCCAGCACCATACTCAATAGCATACCCAGCACCACAACCACAACCAAACTCAGCATCATACCCACCACAATACCCAGCATCACACCCAGCACCATACCCAGCATCATACGCAACAAGGTACTCAGCACCATACCCAGCATCAAACCCAGCAACATACCAAGCATCACACCCAGCATCACACCCAGCATCATACCCAGCATCACACCCAGCATCACACCCACCATCATACCCAGCATCACATCCAGCATCATACAATAGCATACCCAACACCACAACCACAACCACACTAAGCATCATACCCAGCACAATACCCAGCATCACACACAGCACCATACCCAGCATCATACGCAACAAGGTACTCAGCACCATACCCAGCATCACACCCAGCACCACACACAGCACCACACACAGCATCATACGTAGCACCATACCCAGCACCACACCCAACATCATACCCATCATCATACTCAGCACCAAAGCCAGCACCATACCGTGCACCATACCCAGCACCACACCCAGCACCATACTCAGCACCATACACAGCACCACACCCAGCACCACACCCAGCACCACACCCAGCACCACACCCTGCACCATACCCAGCACCACACCCAACATCATAGCCATCATCATACACAGCACCACACCCAGAACAATACCCAGCACCATACCCAGCACCACACCCAGCACCATACCCACCATCACACCCAGCATCACACCCAGCACCATACCCAGCACCACATCCAGCACCATACTCAATAGCATACCCAGCACCACAACCACAACCAAACTCAGCATCATACCCACCACAATACCCAGCATCACACCCAGCACCATACCCAGCATCATACGCAACAAGGTACTCAGCACCATACCCAGCATCAAACCCAGCAACATACCAAGCATCACACCCAGCATCACACCCAGCATCATACCCAGCATCACACCCAGCATCACACCCACCATCATACCCAGCATCACATCCAGCATCATACAATAGCATACCCAACACCACAACCACAACCACACTAAGCATCATACCCAGCACAATACCCAGCATCACACACAGCACCATACCCAGCATCATACGCAACAAGGTACTCAGCACCATACCCAGCATCACACCCAGCATCATACCAAGCATCACACCCACCATCACACCCACCATCATACACAGCATCACATCCAGCATCATACTCAATAGCATACCCAGCACCACAACCACACTCAGCATCATACCCAGCACAATAGCCAGCATCACACCCAGCATCAGATCCAGAATCACACCCACCATCATACCCAGCATCACATCCAGCATCACATCCAGCATCACACCCAGCACCACACCTAGCACCACACACCCCAGCACCATACCCAGCATTACACCCAGCATCACATCCAGCATCACACCCAGCATCACACCCAGCATCACACCAAGCATCACACCATGCATCACACCCAGCGCCATACCCAGCATAACACCCAGCACCATACCAAGCATCACACCGAGCGCCATATCCAGCATCACACCCAGCATCACATCCTGCATCACACCCAGCATCACACCCAGCATCACACCCAGCATCACACCCAGCATCACACCCAGCATCACATCCAGCATCACACCCAGCATCACATCCAGCATCATACTCAGCGCCACACCCAGCGCCACACCCAGCACCATACCCTGCACCACACCAAGAATCACACCCAGCATCACACAGAGCACCACAACCAGCATCACACCCAGCACCATACCCTGCACCACACCCAGCACCATACTCAGCACCACACCCTGCACCATACCCTGCATCACACCAAGAATCACACCCAGCATCACACCCAGCATCACAACCTGCATCACACCCAGCACCATACCCTGCACCACACCCAGCATCATACCCTGCACCACAACCAGCATCACACCCAGCACCACACCATGCACCACACCCTGCACCACACCATGCACCACACCCTGCACCACACCATGCACCACACCCAGCGCCACACCCAGCACCATACCCTGCACCACACCAAGCATCACACCCTGCACCACACCCAGCACCATACTCAGCACCATACCCTGAACCACACCCAGCACCACACCCAGCACCACACCCAGTACCATACCCAGCATCACACCCAGCATCACATCCAGCATCACACCCAGCACTACACAGAGCACCACACCCAGAGCCACACCCAGCACCACACAGAGCACCACAACCAGCATCACACCCAGCACCACACCCAGCATCACACCAAGCATCACACCCAGCACCACATCCAGCTCCACACCCAGCACCACACCCAGCGCAACACCCAGCATCACACCCAGCACTACACCTAGCATCATACCAAGCATCACACCCAGCATCACACCCAGCACCACACAGAGCACCACACCCAACACCACACCCAGCATCACACCCAGCATCACACCCAGCACCACACAGAGCACCACAACCAGCATCACACCCAGCACCACACCCAGCATCACACCAAGCATCACACCCAGCACCACATCCAGCTCCACACCCAGCACCACACCCAGCACCACACCCAACACCATACCCAGCACCACACCCAGCATCACACAGAGCACCACACCCAGCACCACACCCAGCACCACACCCAGCACCACAACCAGCATCACACCCAGCACCACACCCAGCACCACACCCAACACCATACCAAGCACCACACCCAGCATCACACCCAGCACCACACCCAGCACCACACAGAGCACCACATCCAGCTCCACACCCAGCACCACACCCAGCACCACACCCAACACCATACCCAGCACCACACCCAGCATCACACCAAGCACCACACCCTGCACCACACCCAGCACCACACAGAGCACCACAACCAGCATCACACCCAGCACCACACCCAGCATCACACCAAGCATCACACCCAGCACCACATCCAGCTCCACACCCAGCACCACACCCAGCATCACACCCAACACCATACCCAGCACCACACCCAGCATCATACTCAGCACCACACCCAGCACCACACCAAGCATCACACCCAGCACCACACCCAGCATCATACCCAGCACCATACCAAGCACCATACCCAGCACCATACCCAGCATCATACCCAGCACCATACCCAGCACCATACCCAGCACCATACCCAGCACCATACCCCGCACCATACTCAATAGCATACCCAGCACCCCACCCTGCACCACACCCAGCACCATACTCAGCACCATACCCAGCATCACACCCAGCATCATAGCCATCATCACACCAAGCTCCATACCCAGCACAATACCCAGCACCACACCTAGCATCACACCCAGCACCACACCCAGCACCACACCCAGCACCACACCAAGCATCACACCCAGCACCACACCCAGTATCACACCTAGCATCATACCCAGCACCACACCCAGCACCATGCCCTGCACCACAACCAGCATCACACCCAGCACCACACCCAGCACCACACCAAGCATCACACCCAGCACCACACCCAGCATCACACCCAGCATCATACCCAGCATCATAACCAGCATCATACCCAGCACCATGCTAAATAGCACAACCAGCATCACACCCAGCACCACACCCAGCATCACACCCAGCACCACACCCAGCACCCCACCCTGCACCACACCCAGCACCCCACCCTGCACCACACCCAGCACCATACCCAGCATCACACCCAGCACCATACCCAGCACCATACCCGTGCTTTCATCAAGGTGATAAACATGTGTATTACCTGGGACTTTTTTTACCAAATTAAACTGACATCTCTGGGGCAGTATTGTCCAGTTGCGTGGTGCTTAGCCCTACTTTGTTGTTTCAGCTTGAGATAGCGGAGGTGTACATGTTTAATGAAGGAAAACCATTCTCCCTTCACAAGACATCTCGCACAGGTACTCTCTCTGAAAACAGCGGTAAACCACTTCAGTATTTCCGACAAATTGGAAATTTGTCAGCCTTTCTTCTAACTGCCTATGCAATAACAGATCGACCAATAAAGGGTCGTTTGAACATCATCATAAACACCTTTGATGGCGCCCATGTGACCTTGAAGTGTTGCATCATACTGAGCAACCACACGTTGTTGATAACCCGTGCATCGGAAACATACAGGGTACCAAAGGGGGGTCATTACAACGCCACCCAATACACTTGTTCATTACCACTTGGGACAGATGTGGTACAGATGTCCCTGACGTCGTCCTCGTGCAGCCATGACGTACAGGATTATATTCCAGTGAAGAGACCAGTCAAACGACCAGGAGGTTTAGCTCTGTGTGGGAAGACCTTATTTGGAAAAGATCTAAGGCCTCAGCGATTAGTGGAATGGATAGAAATCCAAAAGCTCCTGGGAGTTGACAAGATTCTGATATTTGATTTGGACAATCCAGAAAGTATACGAAAGATATTTCGGTATTACTCCAGACAAGGAATACTAGAAGTTCAGCCCTATGAGTTGCCCGGAAGAATAGAAGGTTTGTTTCTTGGTTTTTGTTGTTTCAAGAGCCGCAGTCAGTAAAATCCCAGCTATAAAAATGCTGCATTTAAACAAGAGTCTTGGCTAAATACTGCAGTGGTTGATATTATGTGGAACATCCCATGTCGTTGGGGTACGATGACAGGCAATCAACCAAGTCAGGACCACCAATTCAGTTGTGGTTCATGAGACAAGCGACCCGTAAAGATTAGGTCTTCAGCAACCCATGCTTGCCGTAACAGGCGACTATGCTTGTCATAAAAGGCGACTAACGGGATCGGGTGGTCAGGCTCGCTAACTTGGTTGATATAAGTCATCGATCCCAGTTGCGTGGATCGATGCGCATGATGTTAATCACTGGATTGTCTGGTCCAGACTCGATTATTTACAGACCGCCGTCATATAGAGTCCCGGGTACCTGGTCTAACGGGAATGAACAAGATGAAAAGAAGGTAGAGTAGTGTCCTCATTGCAGTATACCGGATCAGTCACCGTACGTTCTGGCATTCTCCATCATTTTCCATCAGAATGCTATATACTGAGTAACCTTACGTTTCGGAGGGGTTGCAGGCATTCAGTTACGTGAACAGTTAAATATTCGATAAACATTGGCAACTTTTGTATCGTTAGAACCATGTCTTGTAGCATGCCATTGTTGTACTGATTGTGAAGACAACAAAGATGACTTCTGACTGGAAGTGTTATCTGCCGGAAGCTCCATGAAGTAAAACGCCAAAGCCATAGGAGTATTTATTATCGTAGCTGTGCCGCATGAGTGAATAACCTGCCGCACTGTGATGACGTCGCGGCTTCAAAAACGTAAACATTGTATAAAAAGTGTTTCAACGTTTTTATTTCTACACACATTGTAACCAAATTGTATAACAATCATCGAGAATTGTTTGTTTTTCCAACAGTATCGAAATTTAGCTAATCCCAAAGGCATATGCACTGCCAAGCCATCGATGAAAGTACAGGTATTCTAAGTTGGCTACTTTTTTATATTAGTTGTAATATTAATGCACCCGAATGTTACAAACAAACTCAAGCGAACGCCCTTGTTTGAAATCTAGATCTACAATAATTCTTATCATTGTAAAGTACAGTAAACTACGGTTATAACGAACTCAAAGGGACTACTAATTTTAGTTCGTTATAACCGTAATTCGTTATAAGCATATATACAGCTTAACTACAACATAAAGTCGGGACTAAAAAGTTAGTTCGTTATATCCGTTAGTTCGTTATAAGCGTGTTCGTTATAACCGTAGTTTACTGTACATATCTTGACGATGACAGACATATGACATGTATGTCAAAGTATACATTCATTGAGAATTGTCCCTGCATTTCATTTTCTTATCTAAGATCCATTTTCTTACGTCAAAACAAAATGACGAGAGCGGTCGTGATTAGTTCATGCGAAACTGTTTAGATTATGTTACAATATCACGGTATGAATCCCTGAACGCCAGATTTGAATTACCCCCTCGATGTTGAACGTGTTACATAAAAATGGCGGCGATTTACATGACATACACGCAGGGTAAATGAACACAATTAGGTCCACATGTATGTCATGTTTACTATTACTAACACATGACTTCAAATATATACTTTCCTGTATACTGTAACGATATCTACATTTCTGTGTGATTTAAAGGTCAAGTTACCAGTATAATAGAGAAAAATATACATCCTCATCCTTACAACAGAAAATGAGAATGATTTTGCTCATAATAACAAGTTTTCTGAATAAAAACAATCCTCATTCAACCTGAAAGAAAAATTAATTCGTTCACATGACAGAAAGGGTTACACCCTTAAAAATGTATCGAACAAAATATAGAACTTACATTTTCAGCGATTGAATCTACATTAACGATGGTTACATTACATTTTAAAGAACAATTTACAAGATTTCTTCTCCTTTTAGAGTAATATGGAACCACTGAAGCCAAATGCTAATGCTGTCGTCTTAGCAGTATCTTTCTAGAGGTAATACAGCACTGTATAGAGGCGCGAAGTAGTGAACCACTCAGGCTTGGTAGACTGTCTCTCGACCCCCATACTGGAAAGCAACTGTACGGAGTTCGGAACTACATCTTCATTCCATATGCAATACGCAGCTCGAGACAAAGTATTTGTACAGTTGAAGAAATGTTGATTTTGCAAAATTTACTAGTAGTCTTTAAAGCTGATCTTTTCTTCTGTCAAGCGATGAATCATTTTATGAATGTATCTCATTATCCCCTACTTTTTGAAGAGTTTAACCCCACCGCTTATCCAGACCCAAAAAGGGGGGGTGTCAGTCGTCTAAGGCGCGGCGATTTGCTGTGCAGAGTTGAGTTCCTTGGGCACGCCAGAAACCTATGATTGTGGGTTCGAATCCCGGTTCGCCCCGATTATGTTTCTAGGTGTGTCAGCACCATACCCGTGCTCGTGGGTTTCACCGAAGTGGTAAACGTATGAGACCTGCATCACTTCGGGCTTTCCTCCCACATTAATCTGACACGCCGCGATATAACTGTATTACTGTTGAAAGCGGTGTTAAACCCGACTCACTCTCTCACTCAATTTAATTTTCGCTGTTTTTCTAGGAACCCACGACAGATATCTTAAAATGAACTCGACTTTTCGGAAAGTCGAATGGGACCACACCATGTTAGATCAGCTGTTTGACTTCACGACATACACGTCACAACATACGAGGTCAAACAACCGTCTGTTAGCCTACATAATTAAAATTGCATATTCTAACATCATTGAACGGAAAAAACAAAGCGTTTTCCCTTAGCTGACACTACAGATAACATATCAAATGAAAGTAAAAGACTTGCGATACATCATCACACTATAAACGAGAGTACACTCGACATCATTAATTGGTAAATCTAAAATTAATTAGATCCCATATCCATTGCAGAATGTTGTAAATCCGAACTCTTGTTCGAGATATGATAATTTATTCCATTTTGTGAGAAGATGTACCATGTGTACTTCATAATATACAAGTGAAGCTTGTCTGGCGTGTTCAAAAATGATTCCTCTTCGTATGTTTGAAGGTGTTGCCTATCGGGATCTGTACAGACACCGTCACGACCATGATGGGCAGTTTGTACAAGATGACGGTTTTGTCCTGTTAGACTGCAGAGAGAGACTATCGGGATACAGCTGGGTGATGGGTATTGATGTTGATGAGATCATTCTTCCGAGGAGAAATGTCGCTTTAAAACCGTTCATCTATGTAAGTGATACTTGATTTTTTCATAGTTGACATGGTTCCTTTGCACCGGCAATGTCATGTTGTTTTCTAACACTTGTTGAAAGTTACGACCCCGGTGAAGATCCGGGTTAAAAGTTGTCTTCAGCAACCCATGCTTGTAAGGGCGACGGATGGGATCGATGCTCATGATGCCAATTAGTGATTGTCTGGTCCAGACTCGAATATTTACACCCCGACGTCATATACCTGAACATTGCTGGGTGCTTCGTTTAAAAAACCCATAAAACATAAGGCAAAATGGGCGATGGTCATCAAAACAATAGCCCAAGATATTAACAACAACGACACACAGACAAACAAACAAAGGTAGGTAGGTAACTATAAAACATGATTACCTTGTTTTTGAAGTCCTTATATCGAAATCAGCATCTATTTACCATAAAAAGCTAACAACATGTCAACTTTCCACCAGCATACGCTGTTGAATAGGCATTGTGTGATATTACTACTTTTTTCCTCAAATCTCCCTGACACAGGAACTAACTGCCAGGTACCCAAAAGCAGCAGGGTTCCACTTCTACATCATGTTCCACTACACCAGCCACGGCAAAACCAGGAACCATTATTCTGGCATGGAACACTTCGACTACTCCAGGTCAACCCCACCTCAATGGAAGGCTTTCAAGTACCTTTATATTCCGGATAGAGTGACGGTTCCAGAAACCCATCTGCTCTACGCCAAATCCCCTTACACAGTGTAAGTAGAAGAGGTTAGAGGTTTAGGCGAAATCCACTGACACAGTGTAACGGTTACCTGGTTTAAAGTAGTTTCACTGTCAATAAAATCAACACCTATCGCATCTTTGAAGAGAACCGAAAGGAGATTGTGACATGTCAGATGACAATTCGGCTCCATCAGTGTCGCAGTTAGCTTTAACCATTGTTAATGTATGCGAATAAGAAGGTTTTACAGTCACACTTATCTAAGTCACATGTTTTATACTAGATACTTTCTTTGAGGCGCAACAGAAGAGTTTAAGTGTTTTAAGAGATTATTGCAACTGGTAGGAGTTTATATTTATCAAAACAGATAGCTATTACCTGGTCCTTGCACAGGAAGAGCAAAGTAAGTCTTTTGTCAAGCAATGCAATGTGTTGATCTATAATTTCAAATATGTATATACATCAATAAAGACCTGTTTAAGAATCATTCGTTGCCATATTTTCACACTAGTTGCCCTGTAAACACTTGGGCATAATAACTATTAGAAATCTGTTTTTCTTTCAGACCTCGTGTGTCCTCAGCTGATGGTGTTGTTCATCACGTTCGTTCATGTCATCGTCCTGAGAGCGTTTGCTTCCCTCCAGGCTCGGTTATTGATGATTCTTTTCTGAGATTTGAATCCGAATTGCCACAGAGAGTTAAACAGGCGATGAAAGAAATTGTGTAATTGTTCGTCATTTTCGTTTGCTGTTCTGCGGGTGTGGAACCTGTTGACAAGCGGGCGAGTTTCGGTGATGCTGATATTGACGGCAACACCCATAACGGCCTCGAGATCATCACCAGCTTTCATTTTGAGCTTGCGAACAATTCATATGAAGTTTAACTTGTAAAGGGATGAATGATTAATTTCATTTGGAGTTTGTTGTGTACTTTTTAATCCGGCGGTTGAATAAATATATACTGCTCCACTGTCTTGATAACTGGGTTACATCGTACCACGACAACGTGATATTCTACACATGATTATTTACAGGCTGGCGTGATCTACATCTAATATTGTTGATAAAACAACACCCACTCACTCATCACCAACGCGAAAAGGAGCGTTGGGGATATGTTTATTCATCATAGTGTTCATGTTCACTGTAAGTACTCGTCACGATATGCCTGAAATACTGCCGATGTGACGTTAAATATTAACTCACTCGCTCACTCACTGTAAGTATTAGAGCTCAGGAAAGTCAAACTGTGCTGAGAGAAAAGTAGTGACTTTGAGATCGAATCCATATGACAGTCTGGATCCCATGTTGTGATGCGGCAATGTAAAAATCACATTCCACAAACGAACTCTTGGTATCATCACTGTTTGATGGTGATTCATAAACACATACTCATGATATAGTCGGAGTCGTACCATCGGCTCTGCTTTCAGCGGAGATTTCGTACGGATATGGAAAGGGCTTTGTCGCGTTTGTTTACCGATAAGGTTTCACATATGTAGCAAAAGTCTTTATCATGTAGTTCAAAGCCGTATTGTTCATACGTTAACATTGGTTGTGTTGCTTCACACTGTGAAGGTTAAGATTAACATACTTGGAAACCAATAATGTTAATGCAATCGTTTCAAAATGTGAAAGACCCGTGAAGATCCGTGGTAGAATAGGTCTTCAACAACCCATGCTTGCCGTAAAAGGTGACTGTGCCTGTCGTAAGAGGCGACTAACGGGGATCGGGTTGTCAGGTTCGCTGACTTGGTTGATGCATGTCATCGTATCCCAATTGCGTTGATCGAAGCTCATGATGCCATACCGCCGTCATGTAGCTGGAATAGTGCTGAGTGCGGCGTTAAACAACAAAGAAACAAAACAAAATGAGAAACGTTAAGATAAAAAAGTTAAACATTATCCACAACTCGTGTATGGGAAACGTCAGCCTCATCTCATCGGTCGGCATTTGCCTTGGTGTCTTCCCTAGGCTTAATTGTTCTAATTAAAAGTCATGGGGGCATCTGCGTATTCACGATTTTATTTTACTATTACTGTGCTAAACTGTAGTACAAGACATAATCATTGTTCTCACCCATTATTATAATTTACCGATTATTGTGCTGAGTGAATTGAATACACATGCTATAAAACTAAAAGAAGAACTAAGATTTCCATAATGGCAAATGTACAGATAGACGTTAAGTTTCTTCCCACCACCAGAGGCGGTAGATTTTGTTGACAAAACATAAACAAACTAGCTTTCTTTCTAAAACTGACATGTACATTTTTCAACTATTTGCAATTCCTAAATGTAATAGTTATTTATCATTTAGGTATATATGAATGCTTAGGTAAACATCGAAACAGTAACATATTGTTTCCTTGTAAATAATGAAATAAACACTATAAAGTAATGTTTCGATATATTTTTTTCCATCAATTCATATGTCATCGTTGTAACCAAATACTTTATAAAGGAATGTACTCTTTAAAATAGCATAACCGAACGTAGAACGGTAATTATGAGGTTTGCGAACACAGTGTTACATATATTGCAATAAATGTTTAAAGTTTGCATCGAATTTGTCTTCAGCAACTCATGCTTGTCTTAAGGGGCGACTAACGGGATCGGGCGGTCAGGCTCGCTGACTTGGTTGATGCATGTCATCGTATCCTTATTGCTTACAACGATGCTCATGATTTCAATCGCCAGATTGTCTTGTCTTGCCGCGTTAAACAGAAAGCAAGAGGTTCTCTCTTGTTCCACATTCACAGTATTTTGCTCGTTGCCTGGGGCGACAATACCTGACCCTGTTACGTTGCCTGTTGTCATGGTAACCTGCCAATTGTCAGACAGCTTATACCAAGATTAGTCAAGTTTGGTTAGTCAGGCAATAGTTACCTGTTTACCTTTCATGATGTCGGCGAAACATACATTCAGACATCGCTAGAAGTAATGATTAAGCTTGCACATAGTGAGTTCTCATGCGCAAATTAACCATGACTATGGTTTAGTTATTGCTCTTATTTTTCTTATTTATCATCCATGTATGCTTATCACAAGACCTTATTCGTGTTCATAACCTTTAAGAACTGCCATAAAAACATATTACTGCATTCAGTCAGTGAGACTTATCTCCCCTGAATAGCAGACGACAATGCACGGCTAAAGTAAAGATGTGTTGTTTTTTATGATTATTGAATTAACCTTTCTTTCTGACTTTAATGTCATTAATACACAATGTTTTTTGCAACATTCATCTATATGTTCACGAAAATGAAAAAACTCCTTTTTCCTCCCTGCACGTTCTTCAGAGTCCATCTCAGTTGTCAAAGGTCAGGCAAGGGACCAGTCATTATGACAAAATGTGTATACATGCATATACGTAATAGTAAAGTTTATAACAAGAAATTCATTGTAAATAAATATACAACAAATTAATATGACAGTCAAATGCCATAGGCGTTTATTCAATCTTTTTAATACTGACAAATTTTGTGCCAAGGTGGATTTTGAAATTGAAACATGATGGCGTTATGAAGAAAATAAATATTTTGGTAAGCACTTGATATATTATCTTGCAGTTTGGACTAGTTTATTGTTCACACATATCACATTTGATAGCATATAGAATTGTTCTCCAAACAAATGCTGAATCACACCCTTGATTTGAGAAATACAAATCATAATCATTTTTGAAATGATATGTTTTGGTGAAAATCCTGTTCTCTACATCAATTTTCATAACGTATTATTTATGAATAACGATCTAGTTAGCGCCATCATGCCATAATGTTACTAAGAATTTTCAAAAAGATGAAATGCATGACAACCTAAAACACCATTTCGGGGCATATTTGCTTCAGATGTGGGGTATAAGAATGGCTCGTTGTTAATAATTTGGGTTTACATAGTACATAGAAATATTCACTGAGTTCAACTGAACCAAACTGTACAGTATAGACCTGTTATGTAGTGGATAGTTGAAACTATCTTTGGCCGGGCCTTCTTCTCCGTCTGTATGGACACATTGATAAAAAACATATGTACATCACACAACTGTAGCTAAATAGTATTTCGCAAACTCTTCATAGGGCTATTGAGAACATTAATTCGACAAATAACAACATGTCATTTTAACTTATCAATAAAAACATAGACATTATCAAACATACAATGAAGACGTTCAACCAGAAATCAATATTTGAAGAAGTCCCGTCGTCTAGACCTTGTAATTCCCAATGTAGAATTGCGTCCCTTGTACTAGAATCCGACGATCGTGGGTTCTAAAACCAGAACAACTCCGCGGTCGCGCGTTTCACAAAGCCGGTAAACGTCTTGGAACTGCATTATTTGGGGTGTTCCTCCAACATTAACCTGGTACGCTGTGATATACTACTCAACAGATGTTTATGAAAAACTTCTTTTTTTTCATTTTGTAGTCATATGAAAAATTCGGATGTCCTTTACTTTCTTTTGAGTTGTATAACAATCAAACACTGTCCTACATGTTAAATCTAACCAATTAACCCTTTAAGTGAAATTTTTACATTGCATGTATCAGCCATAAATGTCAGTTATGAGGAGACATCCGCTAAATAATTCAAACATATCATTTCATTTATAAATATTACTATGGTTCACACACTTGGGTACGAAAAGGCACATTAAATACATCGAGGTAAACATCATCGATTAACGAAAATTGAAACACTTAATCAAAAAACTATTCAAAACTCACGAATCGGGGTGAAACGATCAGATATGACAGAAAGCCGATTAAAAGGGTACGCATGCACTTTAAGTAGCATCCGTCGTAAGTGAAGGCAAAGAAACATTCCATGACAGTCAAGGTCATCGGAGGGTGTCGACCATGGAACTTTGTGGGGTTCATTTTAAGGTACGTCATTGAAGTTACAGAAGTAGTAGCTGGGAATGGGAAAATACAAGAACACAAGACGTCAAAAGCTGAATACTTCATGCTAGCCCTCGTGTCCATAAATCCATAAATCAATTAATCAATTAAGAAAAAAGACAAAAAAGAGACACACAGTGAAAATTCGTACAACAGGTATAAGTAGGCTATGACATCCATCATCATACTTACATGTCATAGCTTTAGGGGCCAGGACGAAAGTTCCATGCCGGATAAAGATATCATTCATATATTTTGGTGTGAGGCTAACAAGCCTGTACATGTACACATTGTATCCCACAAAAACAGCTTGTCAGGCGTTTTAAGTTCAAGTCAATGAAAACAGCTTTAAACAACAGACAAACTCGCACAACATATTTGAAAATGAACAGCATCGCCTACCTGCAGTTAAACAATTTGCGTGAAAAAGCAGTCACTGACAAACAGGCTAAATGGGGGTGAACATATCAAAGGAATAACATAACATATATATAGTACACCTCCAAAAGAAACGCGAAGATGTTCGGTGGGCAATATTATCGAACAGAAGTGGTGTGAACAAACATTTTTAATTAGACAAAATTGCATAAAACGTGGTTTGAGAACGTTTCAACTGACTTATTAAGTGCCCTGTCACCTGTCTCAAATAATAGCTGTTGCTTTTGTAGTTTGAGTTTAAGTTTGACACGAAAACACCACACCCTGTCCAGCTTACTAAAGCTTGATGGAGGATGTCACGAGTTGCCAGGCACCTTGGTATCTATCATTCCACAACATACAGGCTTCAGGAACATCCGCATACGAAAACATAACAGGTAATCAACCACGAAGCGGCCGATCTGGTGTCACGTCTTATCATTAAAACATTTTTTTTTCAAATGAATAAGACGAATTTGTCAATAAATGATGACGACCTCCAGAGTAAATTAAAGATTACCTGTCCCGAGGGATTGAATGGTGCGAGCCCCGAGCCTTTGGTGGTAATTATTATTAAATAAATTACCAAACAGATTATTCATTGCAGCTTTAAGAAAGAAAATGAAGTGAAAGGTATGAACTGTCAAGCGTACAGAGTGTTCTTCCTCTGTGTCTAGATACACTTGATTCAATCTCTGACAGAAGGACCCCGACAATGTTCAACTGTTTTACACCATTTCTTATCACGGCATCCTGCAGAAACAAATATTTGGAACAATTTGTTTAAATCCCAGGCTTGCCCCAGAATATCAAATGATCTGTAACATGCAACAGATACTTCTTAAACTCATTTCTTTGTAAATCCGTGCCATACTGTACCATGCTCCTTCCTAAACGCAATCTCTTCTCAACACGTGTCACATAAATTGTTTACTTTGTCCAAAATGTTTACCAGTAGCACATGTATTGTCTGCACAGGTATTGTGAACAGAATCCAACAAAGCTGGTGGCATTGCACTTTTCGAAATACAAAGGGCATTATACATACTAAATATCATTATCTATTTTTAACATTTTCTTTTTAATATTGTAATTTTGAGAAACATCATTGACATGCCAAAATGCCTAAAAACCATTCGATATGATCTGAATAAACGCAAATCTAAAAACTTTTGTCAAAAGCGTATACATCTAATGCGGACATTGACATACCAGCCAGCTCAGGTACAAGAACAATTATTACGGGTACGTCACACGCCTGTATTTGACGCACGTGGCATATCATAATGACTCTCGTCGGTGGTCATGTCGTCAGCCTCGCCCTGCGTCCGTGGTGGCAAAGACAACATTGGGTAGTTCTGACTTCGACCTGGAGCAGGTTGGGGTGTCAACGTGCAAGCGTCTTCGTGAATAGTAAATGTTACACCAGCATCTGAATCAAATAGATACTTTGTGTTTCTATGGCAACAAGTTAATTAATCACATTACAATATCGAAAAGGCAAATTAAAATAATAACTTCCTTAATAAACCTTTTAAAGTGGCATTCGGAGGTTGGAATGATGACCAAGGGAGATAGTTCTAATGTTCACCGTCGTCAAGCAAGCTGGCATCGCTGGCTTGATAACGGTGTTGGTATCTGCACCGAAACGTCGCATTCATTGTAATGAAGAAGTTGTATATCCATAGAACTATCTTCCTTGTTCCTTAATGCAGTACGTAATGTTATTGGAAATGTTCCTTTGGTTAAAATTGTATAAATGGCTTTGTCGGTCAACTGATGATATCTGGTATGATGCTAATCATTACATATAATTATACAGGACTCGTGGTGAATGAGTGAGTGGCAGAGTATGTTTTAAATAAAATCTAAATAAAAGCTTTCATTAATCATAAGAAATATCTGCTAAAGCATAGTCCATTGTACAATTCCAGCTATATCATACCATAGATTTTCAATTAATGATTTTAGTTATTTTTGTATCTATTTATTTAAATCATAACGTTAACATGGGATGAAAGTCGGGAGTGGTACAGGCCAAAGAGGATCCTGGTATATTTATTGCCTACGATGTATAACGAATTGCAGGGTCTTAGACGGTTGGACCACTCATCCTTCCGTTAGCCAGTGAGACCACTAGGTTCAAATATAACTTTATGCCATCCGCTGAAATCTGCCCCGAAGTATGGAGGATACACCTTAGTTTGAACATTGAGCTACACATGTAGATTACCTGCTTCTGATTGGCGTCTTCTCCTATTCCTGACTACAACGACAACTGTGACGATAATGATGAATATGACGACAGCAGAAGATGCGGCTCCCACCGCCACGACAAAAGTGGAGCAGGTCTCTGAAACATGTGAGTGAACTGCACAGTAACATGTCGGCATAACACCACATGGCTATGCATTTGAAGGGCAGGGTCGGGAATAACACAGTTGTAACTTACATGCTACAATAGCCGCTACAATTAGGAGATACGCCGTCTTTATTTTAAAATTAGCGGTAGTATAAAGGATTTATACAAGCTCTAAATTTTATTTAAAACCGAACGCGTTTAGAGCTAGAGTTTTTAAAATAAATTTGAAATATCGAGAAACTAATCGAAATAATGAGAAAATAATCGCAGCGATGAGAAAGAAATGGAAGCAACGAGAAAAAAATTGAAATAACGAGTAAATAATTGAAATAACGAGTAAATAATTGAAGCAAGGATAAACGGAATCGAAATTTCGAGTTTTTGAAATAACGAGAAAATAATCGAAATTATCTAATTGGGACAATAACTTTCTATGATTTGCCTGTGGTTAATTGATTGAATGTAAAAGCGTGGACGAGTTTATCTCATATCACAGGTGAAACAGGTAACAGCAATGTTCACTCGTGCATCACTTTCTGAGCATCAGGCCGTATCATTTCATGATTTTACTGTAAGCATAATGGCACTGTAAGCACATTGGGAAGACAACCAGGAAACAAAAGCCCACCCACTCACTCACGCGCTCACTTGTACGCCACAAACCCACTCACTCACTCACTCACGCATCCAACCACTCAATGTTTTGCACTGAGACTCATCTCCTGTTTCAGTTGTATCTTCCTGCATGCAATCGACTTTTGTTGCTCGTTTTGACCTTTGTTAATACTGAAATATTTCCTTGTAAAATTCAATGGAGACGAATTGTATGTGATGTAATATCATTATATATTGACAGTAGCGGGTGACCTCGCCTGTAGTAACACTACCAAGCTTATGAACGTCAGAATGTTGCGTGATTACATTATCAACCGAGCGGAGAGATACGAAACAACTTTAGATTAATTCCTCAATGTCCAAAACAACAATTAACCATTGCTCCTTCCCTCCTTCAAATATAAAAGATTTGTAATCTCAATCTGTTTAACAGGATCTTACGACATGTTGTTGTCACACTGATGGATGTGTGGTTGCTGGATCCATAACCATTCAGTGCCAACATCTGGACAGTGTACGTCGTCTCAGCTTCAAGACCCTCGAGTTCCACTTGAAGGGCGTCGTCCTCACTCGGCATGGAGGGATGCGTGATCCATTGTCTGCCTCCTTGCCTGTATTGGATTCTAAAGCTCTGTTTGGCGCCGCCATTGGAACCTTTCTCCCATTTTAAAGTTACGGACCGAGGCTTGACAGATGAAGCTTGCAGATTCCTTGGTACGTCTGGCTGAGCTGGAGAAGATTTAAAGCTTGAATCAGTAAAGTAAATCCTCCCTTTTCCGGATCCGGTAAGTCGTGCATCTCTGACTAGTTAATCAGGACATTTGTTAATTCGGATGATTTCAAAAGGAAGAGTACCATCCGGATAAAAGAGGTTTCACTGTATATTAGTATGCAGACTATATGTGGAAAATAAAGGATATATGTGCATGCAACAACACAATGTATGGATATGTTATACTTGTTATGGTGTGATTTATTTGAACCAGTATTTCAAACGTCATCTTTTTCATTTTGAAAGAAAGTATATTAGTGGATAACATATCTGGAGATGGAATCCTATAGCTTTTTGGGAAGTGTATATTTCTTTGAAATAAAAGGCATGGCATGATAAGGGTCCTTTTGGTCCTTGCTGGACATAGTAATATGACTAAACTGTTGGCTTTTCCATACATACACTTGTCTTACTTATATCCAAGTTATATCCAAATCGGTTTTGGTGTATCTTGGTCAAAACAGACATCAAAGCAACAATGAATTTGACTTGAGTATTTTTGGAAGATGTCGTAAAGCAAATGATAGAGCAGGCCACTATCCCGGGTGTAGAACATGGTAGAATGAAACGGGATCTGGATACGCATTATCCACCATGCCTCCAAACCGACTTCAATCTACATCAGGGGCGGTCGGGTAGCCTTGTGGTTTAAGCGTTCGCTTGTCACGCCGAAGACCCGGGTTCGATTCCCCATATGGGTACAATGTGTGAAGCCCGTTTTCTGGTGTCCCCCGCCGTGATATTGCTGGAATATTGCTAAAAGCGGTGTAAAATTGTACTCACTCACTCACTCAATCTACATCACGTTCTAAAAACTAAAAATAACTACCACACAAACTATTCTCTCATCTCATTCAAGAAACAAATATTACATCACATAAACCAACCATTTCAAATATCCGCTACAATCTACATTACATTCTAGAAACAAGTACAACATCACATATTATATCTCATACCTATTATATTCCAGGGCTGCAATATTTCATCGAGTTGACAAAAACCGGGATTAAATAAGTTTGTTCATCAAGTTCATTGAACACCATTGAAGCCATATCACTCACTGACTCACTGACTCACTAATAATGTGAAACTCTAAGAACTTTTGTAAATAGTCTACGATACTATAATCTGCCGTGTGAAGACCGGAAATATACCATTTCGTCAACTTCATCAACGTGATCAAATCTGCAAGGACAGCAACGAGGTCCATCACATGGAGACAGAACAACTCACATGGAGACAGAACAACTCACATGGAGACAGAACAACTCACATGGAGACAGAACAACTCACATGGAGACAGAACAACTCACATGGAGACAGAACAACTCACATGGAGACAGAACAACTCACATGGAGACATCAGCACCACGTTCAGCATCCAGGTCCCCTCCGTGTTTGTCACGTTCACTGTGTAGTTTGTGAAGTCCTCTTCTTGGACTTCTAAGATGGTTAAACTTCCTGTCACACGGAAATCAACGACTGTGACATTGGTGTTAGTGAGTGGCTTCCCCATTGGTGATTTACTCCACGTGACTGTTGGCTCAGGGAAAGCTATGGCAGTGAGACTTAGTGTGACGGTTCTATTTAGAGATGACTTGAACACAGGTCCACCCGGTGTAGATCCATATGGTCTTGGGGCACCTGAATAAAGATAGAACAATATAGTAATGCCAACTTCGCATCATAAATGTAAGTCGGCCATATTACCTTCCATTTACATAAACGAATCAGTTTGACGACGTTATGTTCATATAGAAACGTCTTACAATGTCAAAGAATTATGGATAACATACCATACCACCGGAGCAGAGATAAAATAAAATAGGGTTTAACGTCGCGTTCAAGATTAATGCATTCATATAACAAAGTGCCTGTACGCGCGCGTGCGTGCGTGTGTGCGTGCGTGCGTGTGTGGCTGCTTGTACTAGTCCTGACTAAGTTATTAGTTCTAGCTCACTGAGATACCATGCCGTAGTTTAACATGAATACCCCACCCAGTCAGAGTATACTGACTCCGAGCCGACCAGTCCTTGTTTTAGCCCCTTAATGCCGAGCGCCAGGCAGGGTAACAACAGCTACCATCTTTTAACGTCTTTAGGTATTACGCGGCCGGGGATCGAACCCCGGACTTTCCGCTCTCCAGGCGGACCCACCAGAGCAGAAGTGCATGTCGTTCACGAAGTACATGCACCGTTGTAAAGTGAGAAAATAAAACATGTTTGCCGTTATAAAGACCACAGCCTCTGTGATCTCACGATAACTCATGTAGCTTAGAAAAATTATTGATTTTAACAATGTTATAAGCTGTGTCTTGGATGAGGATAACCGGTAGAAGAATAGATACTGATACTTCCGACCAACAATCCCAGCCCATACAGCGTACAAGAACGTAATTATTTTAGAGATGTGGGAAACCAAGTACCAACTGTACAATGATCACTGGACAATACGACTTTGCCTTTTGTTGGTTACCCAAGTTGCCATGTAGGAGTAACTGGTAACGCGATGGCTGATGCTGAAGCAAAAGTAGCTCTTAACAAATCGGTGACACCATTTCTACTATAGGTTATACCTACTTGGGTATTTGAAGAGGTTATTCTAGGAACGACGATGTCGCATTGGTCACACTAGACATACATATACGTATTTGTGGAAAGTTGAGAATTCACCTATGTATACCTTGTGGTGTATAAGAGATTCACAGTGAAGACACGTTTGCTGGAGCCAAGACAAGGGTTTAGTATTTCAAAGTTTTATCTCTGAAAGATAGTGTTACTACCGTGAGGATTAACATTACTCAATCATTATCTTTTCTTAAAGAACTGAAGTAACTGACCCATTTGAATTAACATATGTTCTGTATAAAGTAACCAATAGCTTAAACTGTAGTAGGATATATTCAACAACTGAGCTTCATTGTGGCTTAGACCTCGAAGGAGGTTGAAGCGTCGTAAAAGCTACAAAAGGAATGATCTAAAACTATGGGTAGAGTACAGATATCAGGGGAACCTTACTATTGTTGCCTGAATTATATATTGCGACGTTGTGTATTAGTTCGATGTTTTTATCCCCCGTAGTTTTGTGGATAGAGCGTCTGCCTGGGAGCGGGCTACTCAGTGTCTTGATGGCTACTCAATCAATAACATAAATTAGTGGATACTCGATATATACTCCTTTCTGATATCTACTTCAATTCAGTGTATTCAAGAAGGCTATCAAATCAATAATCCAGATATAGGACGTCAAGAGACGATACTTGCATTTTACTTGTAATGATATGTTTCGTTCCACAGCTTTCCCGATCACATTCCTTGCAGAGCAGGTGTATAGCCCTGTTTGACGACATCCAACATCCTCGATACTCGCTTCCACTGTCTCGCTGTTAGTCCCACTTCCTATACTGGATGTCTTGCTCCTGATCTCTATGGTAGAAGCAGGATTACTGCTGATGTCACATTGCAGTGTCACATTGTCGTGTTCCGTCACGATCACGTTTCTGTCCCCAGACGTGACACCAAAATACTGGATATCCGGAGCATCTGGAACACCACCACAGGCACATGAATTATTTGCTCAAACAAACAGGTAAACACAACCAACACTTACTCAGACACGGTGCACTGACTCCGAGCCCACCAGTTCTTGTTATATCGTCTTAAGCGTTCGCTCGTCACGCCGAAGACCCGGGTTCGATTCCCGACATGGGTACAATGTGTGAAGCCCATTTCTGGTGTCTCCCGCCGTGATATTGCTGGAATATTGCTAAAACCGGCGTAAAACCATACTCACTCACTCACTATATCGTCTTAATACCGTGTGCCAGGCAGGTCAAAACAAGTACCATCTTTTGGTATGACGCAGCCGGATGAGCCACTGACATTCCGCTCTCCGAACAGACACTCTATCCACTACACCACGGGAGCGAATCAAATATTGAATATCATGTGGAAACTACATTCATATGCAGCATAGTCAGTAAACACTATTGATCAAAATACAAGTATTTTTATTTAAGCAAGTTTAGTTACATCATTCTCGATCTATACCTTTCATATTCGGTCAACTTTTAAGCAAAGGAGATACTACATAGAACATGCCGCTTACATTGCACCTCCAATGTTATATTTGAAGATGATTGTTGGGTGTGTCGTGTCCCATTACATGTCAGAACCGTGTTGAAGGCTGTGCAAACATACACTCCTGCATCAGTTTTCTGTATGTCCTTCAGATGAAGAGTACCATTCATAGAGATTCTTCCACCTGCACCTTCCTCTGTCCAAACTAGTGACGTCACTTCCGGGTTCGCATCTGCCGTACAGTGGAGAGTCAAATCTTCCGACACCTTTACGACTCGCAGGAAATCGTCAATGTGAACGACTGGCGGATCTAAAATAGGAATTCAGTATAACTGAACACTACTGTTACTTTTGAATAATGGGGTCAAAACACTGAATAGACATTGAAGTGATTCCCCGATTTCTTGCTGAACCGGGGCGGTCGGGTAGCCTAGCTTGTGGTTAAAGCGTTCGCTCGTCACGCCGAAGACCCGGGTTCGATTCCCGACATGGGTACAATGTATGAAGCCCATTTCTGGTGTCCCCCGCCGTGATATTGCAGAAATATTGCTAAAAGCGGCGTAAAACCATACTCAATCACTCACTCTTGCTGAACCATTTGCCATATTGATGCAACAACCTTATTCATTCACGTATTTGCTGAATTAAGTAAAGCAACGAAGCATTAGCAGCACATGCATAGTTGTAGCAGGATGATATTTTCATTGGGCCATACTATATACATTATTCTTTAAAACTGACAAAAATTATTCTTCTCAAAATTGCAACAACCGAACAACAACTAAGCCACCATTACATTCACGTGGCTGGGGAGAGAGATAACTGATTCTTTGCATCGACTGAAACGCCGTTCTCCCAAAGTGGTGACATGCTGTTGTGAAACCAAGAAGGCCCGAGTGTACACAACATATGACATTTAGTCACACTGTCCTCTCCAAGTGGCCATAAGTCTTTGTGACAGGCATGAGTTAGTGAGTTTGGTTCAACGCCGCTTTGAACAGTTCAGCTTGTCAGCATACTGTGATGGAGGTCTTAAGCAATTACCACTTTAGTGAAACCCTCGAGCACTGGTATGGTGCTGACAAAACTACAAACGTAATCAGGGTGAAGCGGGATTCGAACCCCGATCATAAGTTTCTCGCACGACTAAGGTGCGCAGCTTGGACAGCGAATTGTGGCGCCCTGGGTAATGGACCACAACAGTTAGTACTTACACTGCACCTCAACTGTAACATTGTCTTCTCCAGGGGGTGATACGCCATTGTCAGCTACACATCTGTAGTGCCCGGAACTAGATCTGAACACTCTTGGAATGTTGTAAAGCCGATCTCTGCCAACAATGTTCCCTCCATGGTACCAGGTAAAGTTAGATGGAGAAGGGTTTGCTGCTGTGACGAAACAATTCAAAGATACATTCGTCTCATCCGCGGGGAATATGTATCCTGTGCATGGCTCCACGGGGCGTATGTCCAGGGAGGGCGGATCTGGAAAGATGTTGAGAGCCATAAGCTGAATTACCTAAGTAGGTGACCAGTTTCTATACTATTGTTACATATAAGTGTACTTTCTTCACGTGGCTGTACTTTGTGACGTCTTTGATGAAAAAACCCACATAATTTAGAATCATATACAGTAAACTACGGTTATAACGAACTCAAATGGACTACTAATTTTAGTTCGTTACAACCGTAATTCGTTATAAGCATATATACATTATAACTACAGCAAATAGTCGGGACTAAAAAGTTAGTTCGTTATATCCGTTAGTTCGTTATAAGCGTGTTCTTTATAACCGTAGTTTACTGTACTGGTAGACGGTGCACATGGTGTACAGATACAATCCGTTTTTAGTATAAGGAAACACATGCGGTGTATTGGATATATAGATGTATGTCGCCACTGTTCAGATTCATATTGCAAAGATAAAAAACTTTTAATTGTAAATTTAATTGTACTGGTCAAATACGGAACAGCAGTTGAAACTTGTAAGTAATTATCACAAATTTGTCATATTATTTGTCTCATCACATCTCATTCATTTGAGGAAAATGTGTTGGCAATATTCACTGTCTCCATAATACATGTCTTATTTCAATGTTTGGCAATCTTGCTAATGTAAGCATTATTTAAGCATATTCTCCAGAGAAAATGAAGCTTCGTTGAATAATGATGCATCGTTTAAAGAAGCAACCACTTTAATGACGAAACTAGTTTATACACACAAGAAGCCTAGGCATTGTCACGCGGTTTTGGACTTAACGCTCCAGCTGGAGTTAAGCCAAATGGGTGGCGTGTTACTGCATTTTACCGTACAGCCTTTCAGTTGCTATTCGTTGTGTTTCTCTGACTAAAATAATTTCCGGGGTATTCGCAATGTTCCTCAAGTACATCAGTATTTGAAAATGAGGAAGAAGGTCGTGAAAGTAGGACTTTCCTATAAATATATATACTTTCATTAATATTGCTGGTGGCACAATCAAAGCATTCAATAATGTACACAACAAAACACATACAGTAAACTACGGTTATAACGAACTCAAAGGGACCACTAATTTTAGTTCGTAATAAACGTAGTTTGTTATAAGTATATATACAGCATACGTACAACAAATGCCGGGACTAAAAAAAATAAGTTTGTTATATCGGTCAATTTGTTATAAGCGTGTTCGTTATAAACGTAGTTTACTGTATCCCTCTTTTGCAGTTTCTCATAGAAAAGAAAGTGAATTATCGACACCCAATATCAATCTGACAACACATACCAACTGGTTAGATTGGGCTACCGGAAGTAAACGACATGCTAACCCTTTTCGCGAACACCCGGTGTCATTACTGAATTCAGTGATCCATTCATATAATTCTCACCGCAATTTTGCCTTTTACGCCTAATGGGACCTGTTTCGTCGGACAATCGAGACGGGTTCATATTCATATTAACATAGCGTATTTTCATATTTTCATTTACTTACAATGTACGTTCAGATGAAGTGTGTTGCTTTTCATCCCTGCAGCCTGACACATCCATGAGGTGTCATGTTCCAGAGAAACCTTCCCGATGGTCAGAGTGTAGATGTTTGGTTGTCCATCCTCACGTGAACAGAGGTAGCTGATGTTTCCCACGATTTCACCTGTATCTCCCATTAGACGGCAGACAGAGCCATAAGTGCCTTTTTCCTGGATCGAGAATTGAACTAAACCTGTGACGTCTGCATCCTCGACACGACAGGTGAACGTGAACGGACGACCAAGGACGCCAGCTGTAGCAGACGTGTCCAGAGTTATGTCTGCGCCTTTTAGAAAAAGAACGATAGACACAATATAGATACAATAAACTACGGTTATAACGAACACCAAGGGAGCAATAATTTTAATTTGTTTTAACCGTAGTTCGTTATAAGCATATGTACAACATATTTACAGAAAATTAAGGGGACCAAGAAACAGACAGTTCGTTATATCCGTCAGTTCGTTATATCCGTCAGTTCGTTATAAGCATATTCGTTATAAACATAGTTTACTGTACACGGACGTATTGGATTTTGAAAATACCATATTCGGCTTTTAAAACGATATCATGTCTCTCAATACAGATGCTTTGATAACTGGTTCTCGGGGTATAAGTATCCATTTTTTTATTCTGTTACTGCCATCGTCTCTGACAAGCTGTGGGGCGGTGTGGGAGCCTAGTGGTTAAATCGTTCGCTTGTCACGCCGAAGGCCCGGGTTCGATTCCCCACATGGGTACAATGTGTGAAGCCCATTCTGGTGTGCCCCGCCGTGATATTGCTGGAATATTGCTAAAAGCGGCGTAAAACCAAATACAGGCGGGACAACATTGTCAAACACGAACAGGATGTGTGTTGTATTTTGTATGTCCATCAGTATATCATGTTTATTCTTTTGACATTCTTCTTCCTGAACCAACATGTCTGGCTATATAATGTGCGTCATGTGTTATAAAACAATTCCAAGTTTTGTTGTCCTGGTTGATAGCCAAATGGGGTTTCCTAGAGTATTCGACTTATGAGTGATAATACAATTTGAAAAAAAAACGATCATTCGAAACTATTCAAAGTAGGTCAATGAATATTGCGTTAATGTTAATGTTAACAACAAGCGCATCAGAAAGTAATAATAGCTATAATGTCCATCGTGGCTTGGTTTAATGAAAAGTGTCAAGTCATACAATACGTTTGCAGGAGTGTCTAACGAATCTAATATACTAGTATTATATCTTTTTCTATACTGTTGAGCCTCGATGTGTTGAACTCGTGTGGACCTGGAACAAAGTTCCGAGTTATCCAGGGTTCGAGACAACCAAGGGAATTTTATTCTTAATTTGGATACTTTGGACTTCCAAATGAGTTCGAGACAATCGGGAATTCGACACATCAACGTTCGACACAACTCGATTCGACTGTATATCAAACATGCATTGGCCAAAACAAATGAACTAGTTAAATATGTACATTTGTAACAACATGTACAATTGTAACATTTATGATTTTTATTTGTACGTATAACTCTCTCTCGGGATGCCTTTTGTAGAATACATGTCTTTTGACTTTGACTTTGAGTGAGTTATTTTTGCGAGTTTGACTGTGCCTACTTTCATAAGGAAATGGGAAGTGTGCGAACTGGACAACTGAACAGAAACCACTTCACTGGCTATGTGACAGTGCATGGACTCCCTAGTTCCTTGTTCATAATGAATCCCAGATACTAGGAGAGAGAGAGAAAGAGAGGGAGAGAGAGAAATGGAGAGAGAGAGAGAAAGAGAAAGAGAGAGGGGAAAGAGAGAGGGAGAGAGAGAGAAAGAGAGAGAGAAAGAAAGAGAGAGATGAGAAAGAGAGAGATGGAGAGAGAAAGAGAGAGAGGGAGAGAGAGAAAGAGAGAGAAAAAAAAGAGAGGAGAGAGGGAGAGAGAGAGAAAGAGAGAGAGAGGGAGAGAGAGAGAAAGAGAGAGAGGGAGAGGGAGAGAGAAAGAGAGAGAGGGAGAGAGAGAGAAAGAGAGAGAGAGAGAGCAGTGGCGTCATAAACCCCATGGCTACGTTGAATTGCATCATTATCAGATTCAAACAGGTCCCTGTTGCTCTATCCACCCTATCACGATACAATCAATATACTGACGGAAAAACAAGTCAGGGAAGGCATAACACTTTTTGCAGGAGAATGTTTTCTACTTTGTTCCATAGACATGTATATTATTCATATCAACAAAAGTATGACATGAATGTGGTGTGTTCAGTAACGTTGCAAGACAATCCCGGGTCATAAAATCGTTACAAACATGTTCCTTTGTTCCTTGCCATTAGTATATCTTGTTTCATTTGACCTATATGACCAAAACCCCGTGAATATTATATTGGTCTTCATGCTTGTCGTAAGAGGCAACTAACGGGATCGGGTGGTCAGGCTCGCTTACGTGGTTGGTGCATGTAATCGTATCCCAATTGCGTAGATCGATGTTCATGATGTCAATCACTGGATTGTCTGGTCCAGAGTCGATTATTTTGCAGACCGCCGTCATACAGCTGGAATATTGCTGAGACCGGCGTTAAACAATAAACAAACCCAAAATATATTGCCAAACTCCCTGTGGCAGTCAAGCAATTCAAGCACCTGTTGATGAAGAGAGTGATAAAAGGGACTGTTGGTGTAGTCCTTTGAAATGTAAATTTGCAGAGGAGTTGGGATAATTCTTTATTCTATTAACCTACGGTAATATGGATACGGGTGGCACAATTGTCTAAGGCGCAGGAAATCAATGTTCTGTTTTGTGTCCATTAGGTGTGCCAGAAAAAAATGATTGGGGATACGAATACCAGACTCCCCCTGATTGTTTTCTAGGGTAGTCAGCACCATACCCGTGTTCGTGGGTTATACCAAAGTGGTAAACGCCTAATGCATACATCACGTTCTCTCCCACATTAGGCTGACAGGCTGTAATATTAAGGTCGCGCTATTTTTCAGGGCATTATCATTTGCAGAAGCACGAGGCCTTCCATTAACTGCCCGACGAAGGAGGGCAGTTGAAATGACCGAGGGCTTCTGCAAATGATGATGCCCTGAAAATAGTGTTACTGTTATTATAGCTAAATGGATGGAATTTGTTATCAAATAAAACGAAACAACAATATCGGTTTTGAAACATTTACTGCAATCAACATACATGTGGCTGACGCACTTTTACAAATATGGAAACGTAATAGAACAAACCAGATGACGTCACTATTGAACGTGACGTCATCTATCTCTATCCTATGACGTCACCTAACAACGGGCGTGATAATGGCCCGTCTTCAAGCAATATAAGGGCCTTATCAAGTCTCAGTGGCCCGCTCATTTTTTGATAAAATGCAGGCGGTTTAATAATAATTCTATCCATTTTAGCTATAATACTTGTATAACGTGGCGTTAAATCAAACTCGATCATATCATTGTATGTGCTTTGTCATGGTCATTTACCGTGGTTTATGTCAGGGAGGAGTACACCACATGTCCTCATTTTTCTGCTCAATTACCGCCCGGGTCACCTAATCACCATAGAGTCCAGAATGATCATTGTACGAAAGTTCCTCTCCAGAACAAGTAAAACGAATTAGACAGGGGCGCTTTCGGAGAACACATTCATTGTGAGACAACTTATCTCACTGACGATTAATTCTAAAAACAACACCGTGATACCCCAAGTTAAGACATAGAACAATGTACATGTATATCTTTAAAATATGTTACATGAGAGATTACTATGAACACTTATTCCGGGATACTGGTGCTATAAATGACAAATTCATTTCTCTGCCACTGATTTTAATGTGTCTTCAAAATTGTGGTTTTCAGTGGTCAAAACGATTGCTGGACTATCAACAGTTTTAGGGTAGACATAGATTTATGCTGCTTTTGTCAGTTTGAAACTACACTCTGCTTTCCCTGCATGATACATAACTAATAAAACAAAGTAAGACACGTTCTATGGATTAACAACTTCTTTATTACAATTAGTGCGACGTTTCGGTGTAGATCCTAACACCTTTATCAAGCTTTGCTTGATAAAGGTGTTAGGATCTACACCGAAACGTGCTTGATAAAGGTTTTAGGATCTACACCGAAACGTCGCACTAATTGTAATAAAGAAGTTGTTCATCCATAGAACGTGTCTTAATTACTTAATCACACCAACTTCTAAATGCCACTGAAAGAAGATAATTTAACAAATACGACCATTCATTACGGTAATAGAAGTTATAAAATAAATCCCATAATAGCAAAGATGAATGACTAACGAAGCGTGATTTGTGGCTCATTTCCCCATAAAACATTGTTCTATCATGACGTCATTTCTACAGATTCGAACATGCGCTCGCAACTTGACGATGTCGTATATATGACGACGTTTTGTTTGAGAGGGGAGTGTCTGGTGAATTGTTTCCAATAGATGAACGGGATGGTCGAACGATCGCATCCAATAGCGTGAGAGATATGTCAACTGATACTGGGAGAAAAGGTACAGGTAATTGATGTGAGGATTGTGAGAATATGCGGGAACTACCCACCTGTGCATCAAATGAACTTGTCCGACATTGCCGAGGTCGGATTTTATTGAGGGACTCATCAGTATTTAAATGCGGGTAAATATTTTGTGAAGCTTGTACATTTTATCATCATCCTTATACGGGATGTACACAATGTTGATATCTCATATAAGAAATATACATTTCAAAGTGTTAGACAACTAGTCGTGAAGTAAGTTCATATTTATTGCGAAAAACCACAGTCGGTAACCTTCCAGCTAATGACATCCTCGCATATCTAGGGCATTATATCTCCCTTCTGATAAGGGGGCGAATTTGTCCCGGGTATTTATCATAGTGTAATGAAGGCAGATGCCCCTGGATATTCAAACAGATGAAATTTAACAGACTGAGTTACAAGATGAATATTAATTTAATTCACAAGGCTTTAAAATCTGATTTACAGAGTAGCGTCCCTGAGTGGCATCCCTGCCAGAATGCTATGATCGTGGGTTCCGATTTCAAATTATTGGACATTCGTGTATGTCTGTATAAGGGCGGCTTTTAAGCCATCGAGGTTTGGCCAGAGAAACCAGTAAACGATTCACGTCACTGCGACACGATGTCCAGCAATAAGCAAGGTGACATACTGAAGCCTGCCAAGCTGTGTTGTGAACCTGATCCTTAAATAGGATATGTACAGACAGCTCTATATGAATAGCAATAAAACCAGACAGCTCTATATGAATAGCAATAAAACCAGACAGCTCTATATGAATAGCAAAAAAACAGACAGCTCTATATGAATAGCAATAAAACCAGACAGCTCTATATGAATAGCAATAACACCAGACAGCTCTATATGAATAGCAATAACACCAGACAACTCTATATGAATAGCAATAAAACCAGACAGCTCTATATGAATAGCAATAAAACCAGAAAGCTCTATATGAAGAGCAATAAAACCAGACAGTTCTATATGAATATCAATAAAACCAGACAGCTCTTTATGAATAGCAATAACACCAGACAGCTCTATATGAATAGCAATAAAACCAGACAGCTCTATATGAATAGCAATAACACCAGACAGCTCTATATGAATAGCAATAAAACCAGACAGCTCTATATGAATAGCAATAAAACCAGACAGTTCTATATGAATAGCAAAAAACCAGACAGCTCTATATGAGTAGCAATAACACCAGACAGCTCTATATGAATAGCAATAATACCGGACAGCTCTATATGAATAGCAATAACACCAGACAGCTCTATATGAATAGCAATAAAACCATACAGCTCTAAATGAATAGCAAAAAAACCAGACAGCTCTATATGAATAGCAATAAAACCAGACAGCTCTATATGAAGAGCAATAAAACCAGACAGCTCTATATGAATAGCAATAAAACCAGACAGTTCTATATGAATAGCAATGCAAGAAGCGTTTTACTAACTGGCACTACTCAGAATCTCATTTCGAGGTAAAAAAAATGCTTTACATTTTCACAATATTTCCAATTTCTATTCTTGATTATTCCAAGGAACGAAATACATCATATATGATTACAAGATATTACACGAATGCATAACGCATGACAACATAAGACATACTCACAAAGGACCAAGTATCTCCAACAAGTCACAAGTAGTAGTATATGCAACACTGTCGTGTTTGCCATAGCCTTCATCTGTTGGATGGAGAGGTAGGTCAATCACGTCTAGCGCTGATAAAGTATTAAGTCGAATCACCCACAATTATACACAACCTATTGTTCGAAATCTGAAACAGGGAAAACACACTTGAACCATTTCCTTGTGTATTTGTTCACGGGCTATTTATTGTTGATGTTAATTTGATGTTATTATCATGAAAATATGCTTGAATGGGGAGGGGCGCATTGGGTGTACTGTTGAAAGGGGGTGGGGCGTGGGTGGGTGGGTGTTTGTGGATGAGGCTTGGAGGGATGGACGAGGTGTGGGGTGGGAGAGATAGGCTGGGGTGGATTGTGGTAGTTGTCGAGAGCTGGATAGGAATGGATTATGTGTGTGTGTGTGTGGGAGGGGGGGGGGGGTGTATGTGTGTGGGGGGGGGTGTGTGTTATTGGTGGGGTCCGGTGTAGGTGTAGTGTGACAGGCGGGTTGTGACGGGCAGTGGGGGTGGGGGAAATGTAAAATGTTGGTCATTAGTTGTCATTTGGCACAGTAACAATCACGGTCAAAATCAGTTACACTCAAACCCACAATATTTCCTGAAATGGATACAAGGACAGTGTGAGTGAAAGCTGAAGCCTACCACAACTTCTTCCCTGTAGGCGTCAGCTGGAGATGTATCAGATGAGACTATGTATAATTTCCGACATGAAGTAATAATTAATATTATCACTTATTGCCCTTCCCTTTGGTGGAACGGGTTTGCTGCTGACAAACAATAATCAGGTCGAATCTGTGTTCGACCGTAAGTCATAGGCCCCTGGCACGGCCAAGGGACGTAACTCTCCACGGAGAGTAGCGGCATATTACACGAGTGGTTCATCCGTGTGCCTATATTATAATATTATCATGATATTGCTATTGTTACTCTATTATGCTGTTTTATAATTTGCTAAAATGGGTGTACCGTTTTTGTCTTTGTGGCTTAGATTATATTTCCTTTCCACCTTAAAACGCTCCCTGTTTTAGAGAAGAAACAATTGAATTAATTGATAGTGAAATATCAAATAGTTTAAAGCAGCAACTGGTGTAGTATTTGATGCTGTGGATGACGACGCTGATGACATACATGGTGCTGACGTCATACCACAGGACTTGTGCGAATATTCTAAAGATATAGAACAATTGCAAAATGATATACCTCTAACAAGAGTAAATAGAGGCACGAATCATGGTATAAAACTTTAAATATTTAATTTGAATATTTGTAAAAATAACATTTTATTGATAGTCAATGGAAGAGTGGGCTCTGACAGAGAAGCGGGGAAACCGACACGCGAGGATGAAAGCACTGTGGACTGAATGGTATACTGAGGGGGAAAAGAAAGTATACCGAGTTTGTTTTTTATGTAATTGAAAAATGAAAGAACTGTTGGTAAATTTGATTAATGTCTATTGAACCATTACCCATTCCTGCAACAGTTAGAAAAAAACAATCTGTGACTGGGTAGTTTTGTCTAAAATGAGTTGGTTCAATGAAGGCTGGGGACCCCTACCTTGTTTGAAATGTTGTAAATTTGTGCCGAAAGAAGCACAAAGATAAGATGTCTAAGAAAGGATAATTATTAAAATATATAAATCAAATTATAATTTAAAGAATAAAACAAACCATGTAGAAGTATTCTTTGAGTGCTGACTAAGCGTCAGTGCAGTTCATATCTTCGATTTAATATCGCTAACTTGTTTCTAGGTTTGTCAGCACCATACCCGTGCTCTTGGGCTTCACCGAAGTGGTAAACGTCTGAGACTTGCATCACTTCGGGCTTTCCTCCCACATAAAGCTGACACGCTGGGATATGACTGTAATAATGTTAAAATCGGCGTCAAACCAAACTCACTCACTCACTCACTCACTCACTAATATCGCTAACTTAAGATATTTTCAAATTAAAACAAACATGAGCAAATCAAGTGAGAGGTGTAGTTTCCATTGTTCATTAGTTTACGTACGGCTGATTTATTCTGCAGCATCACTGGTTTTTACGGTGGCCCATACGGGACATGGAGTCTGTTTTTCCAAACTTTGATATTTCACTTACTTTTGTCGTTACCTTTTGCAAATTAACACTATTTGTCTTACAAATATGTGATAAATCATGTGTAAAGAAGATATTGAATCGCAGAAAAGTGAAACGAAAATGTCAAAAACTAAAATGAAAATGTCAAAAAACAAAAACGAAAATGTCAAAAACTAAAATGAAAATGTCAAAAAACAAAAAAGAAAATGTCAAAAACTAAAATGAACATACAGAAAACTATTTCCACCGCGGTGATAATATTTCCACCGCGGTTGAAATAGTTTTGTCAAAAACCAAAACGAAAATGTCAAAAACTAAAAGTTTTTGACATTTTCGTTTTGGTTTTTGACATTTTCGTTTTTGTTTTTGACATTTCCATTTTAGTTTTTGACATTTTCGCTTCACATTTCCGCGACTCAATAGCTACTTGAAAGTCCATTTTCCATGTTTTCGGTTGTTTTTAAACATGATTTATTACATATTTGTATGACAAATTGTGTTAATTTGCTAAAGGTTACGATAAAAGTAAGTGAAACATAAAAAATTTGAAAAACAGACTCCATGTCCCTTATGGGCCACCGTAGGTTTTTCTGGGTGCGGCGTTAAGCGATGATCACACCTGCCCGTCTCTTGTATGTCCACAATGCCTTGTTTATCCAACTATCAGTCACTGGCGAGGAAGGTAGTGTAAACTTGCAGATGACGCGTCATGTGGATGGCATCATGGGTGACACAGACACTTGGCACAGGTTGGACACTCGACATACAGAGAGATTTGGAGTCACATTCAGTGTTGATCATACTAACAAGATATAGGCAGCTGTTCACCGCGTATCTCAAAACAAACCGTGCAAGGATGATATCAATGGGATTGTTGAAGAAGAAAGTTAGCCATCGGCCTTGTCCCAAAAATAACTTTGACACGGCGAAGGAAGCGTGCAAGTCTGAAGTATAATGGAGCATGCTCTTTTTATCAAATTACAAAGAGAGTCAAACGACTTGCTTAGATGTTGTCTGATCATGGTTACAACATTTAAGGCCTCAGTAAAGCTTTCAAAAGGTTTTATGGTAGACATGTGGAGGACATTTCTAAATTTGACTGATCAAGGATCAATCTTATGTCCGGTGCATTTCCATATTTTACATGTTCCCGTAATTTGCTTCAGGTGAACAATTGATTTGTCTTTGCATGTGTTTGTGATTGGTGCCACGGATGGGGAAGGATGTGCTCATCTTTTCGCGAACACCTGGCATCGTCTCTATTACATAATAGTTCACAAGCACATGATCATGAAATCGTCGGAATCGTACAATCGACTCTGCTTATGAATATGGAAAGGGTTTTGTCGCTTTTATTTACATGTTGACCGTGTCTGGTCGTTATAATGTTATAACCTTGTTAGAGAGTAACTGACACCTTTACACGATGACTGTGACTGGGAGTTATAATGGTTTTTTGTTTGTTTGTTTGTTTGTTTGTTTGTTGTTTAACGCCGCACTCAGCAATATTCCAGCTATATGACGCCGGCCTGTAAATAATCGAGTCTGGAGACCTATTCTACCCCAGATCTTCACGGGTCTTACACATTTTGAAACGATTGCATTAACATTATTGGTTTCCAAGTATGTTAATCTTAGAGGTACAATTATTCCTTCATTGTGTGAAGCAGCACAACCAATGTTAACGTATGAACAATACGGCTTTAAACTGCATGATAAAGACTTTTGTTGCATATGTGAAACCTTATCGGTAAACAAACGCGAGAAAGCCCTTTCCATATCCATACGAAATCTCCGCTGAAAGAAGAACCGATTGTACGACTCCGACTATATCATGAGTATGTGTTTATGAATCCCCATCAAACAGTGATGATACCAAGAGTTCGCTTGTGGAATGTGATTTTTACATTGCCGCATCACAACATGGGATCCAGACTGTCATATGGATTCGATCTCAAAGCCACCTCTTACGACAAGCACAGTCGCCTTTTATGGCAAGCATGGGTTGCTGAAGTCCTATTCTTCACGGGACGTATGTTACTGTTTGTGTGGTTGGCGTGTTGAGGCACATTTCCAGTACTTCGGGAATAAGAGTAATCGTGTTCAGTTCTTTGCCTGTCTTGTGCGTTTGATATAGGTGTGTTTTTGAGGTGAGTTGAAATGGGGTTTAACGTCGTGTCCAAGATTATTGCACTTATATAGCAACGTGCATGCACGTGTGTGTGTGTGTGTGCGTGCGTGCGTGCGTGCGTGCGTGTGTGTGTGTGTGTGTGTGCGTGCGTGCGTGTGACTGATGCCGATTTATAGTGCTAGCTCACTGAGAAACCATGCCCGTGCACGTGGGTTTAACATGAATATCCCACTCAGACACAGTACACTGACTCCGAGCCCTTCAGTCCTTGTTTTAGCCCCTAAATGCCGAGCGCCAGACAGGGTAACAAAAAGTACCATCTTTTAACGTCTTTATGTATTACGCAGCCGGGGACGCTCTACCACTAGACCACGGAGGCGGTCTTGTGTTTTAGATTTGATAGGCAGATGAGGTTGTGGATGGTGGGAGTGATCAGTAGGCTCGACATCACCGACTTCCCCTTTTGAAATATAACACGTGAACCGACGTCCCTTTAAAAAAAGATAGTTTCCTCGACAGATGTGATTTCATCTCAACCCTTCTGAAATGCATTCTGTTCAAAAAATGGAAAAGGGATACAGTTTAGGATTTTATTTCTTAGTTTTTAGACGTCATCAGCCGTATTTTGCGACAACGGACGCATTATCATCTAGTTCAGTCAGCCACGATGACAGTTGTTTTGTTGGCCACATACGTAGACGTCTGATGCAGTGCCGGTGTTACACACGCTGGCTTTGTAGGATGCCCGGACCTTTGTACCGGCCGGAAGTCCACCACACCCGTGGTCACACGCCCACTCCTTGACCTTCCGGTCACACTCCGTACCACATGTGATGAGTTCCCGGGCTCTGCACGGACAGTGGACAAGACGCCGGCAGTGTTGGATGGAGCCAAAGTCTTTAAAGACTTGTCCGTAGTTGTGGTTGTTGACAGCCTTGCAGAAACAACTGAAACGAAACAAAAGAAACAACTGAAACAACGAAACAATGCAACAACAGAAACAATGAAACAATACAACAGAAACAACGAAACAATGCAACAACAGAAACAACGAAACAATGCAACAGAAACAACGAAGCAACGAAACAATGCAACAGAAACAACGCAACAATGCAACAGAAACAACAAAACAATGCAACACAAAAAACGAAACAATAAAACAAGTAAACAAAAGAAACAAGGAAACAACAGCAACAACGAAACAATGCAGCAATAGAAACAATGCAACAACAGAAACAATGAAACAATACAACAGAAACAACGGAACAATGCAGCAATAGAAACAACGAAACAACAGAAGCAACGAAACAATACAACAGAAACAACGAAACAATAAAACAAGTAAACAAAAGAAACAAGGAAACAACAGAAACAACGAACAACATGCGGTTGTGAGGGAATGTTGTTTTGCGCAATATCCCAGGTGGTCTTTTCACGAAGCTGTCTTAACTTATCTTATCTTAACTTTCGACAGAAATTAAGTCAGGGTCGGAGTTTACCGAAGTTACTATGGTGGCCAAAAGATGGCATGTTGAAGAAAGCGATTCTACAATTTGGGCCTGTTGTATCATCCCTGAACACAAAAACGAGTGGTTTCAACTTGAATTTACAAAACTCGAACAGCAGATGGTAGCAAACACCACTGATGAAAGTTAACAATCATTCCATACAAAATGTTACGCGTTACAGTCGTTGGCTCCCAAAACAACACACCTGTCTCGTATATTTCTGTTGAAACACCAGCAGGGTTTTTACAAGCTATCGCAATGACCGTGACCTTTGCTTGTCACGGGCAGTTAATGTATATAGAATGAGGGTGGTTTCCCATTAACTACGAATACAACGTATGAAATATATAGCGTCTAATGGGGTGAACACCTTGTCGATTATGTACAGTGGGATCACATGCTGTTTGAAAATCATTCAGTCCATGAATGAATGTTCCACTTCGGATGCTAAAAGAAAACGATTAATGTTTAATCTTCGCGATCGGTGTTCTTAAGATATATAAAGTCGGTTTACAATCTAGGTTGGTTGGTTCATCCCACATCCCTTCCCAAGTGATCAGGGGGCACGGGGCCCAGTCGTCTAAGGCGCCGCAATTCGCTGTGCAGAGTTGCCACCCTTGGGCACGCCAGAAACCTATGATTGTGGGTTCGAATCCTGGTTCGCCACGATTATGTTTCTAGGTTTGTCAGCACCATACCCGTGCTCGTGGGTTTCACCGAAGTGGTAAACGTCTGAGACCTGCATCACTTCGGGCTTTCCTCCCACATAAGCTGACACGCCGCGATATAACTGGAATACCGTTAAAAGCGGCGTTAAACCAAATTTACTCACTCACTCACTCACTCACTCACTCACTCCCAAATGATCGACTTTGCTGTCGGGGAGCGTTGCATAAACCACGTCTCAGCTGCGGGACATCCTTGGATGCGCCATTGTCACATGCTCCGGGTTCCCATCTCACACACAGCCAGCTAAAGGATGTTTGTTCAATATGTTTGATGCAATCTCTCTGGGTTTTTTTATTATTCCGATACAACGCATGTATTTCTTGTCCTGGTGGGTAGTGTTAACCTAAAGGATATCCCACAGAAATCGTGACTCTATAACAATAAGAAGCACATACTGGGTATGTCTTATTTTCATTTCTCCAGGGAGAAGTTCACGGATGAAACTAGCATCAGTGAAATACAACTCGCGAACTTTCAAGATTTGTTTTACTTCAAAGATGCCCAGAGGACATGCATAAACAACCATACTATGTGTTCCATAAAATCAGTATTCTTACGAATATGTATGTATTGTTATGAATATTATATTTATTTATACAGCAGTATATTTGATTCATGAAAATAGAAGTTGGGGTCAAGTGATACAAACATTTGTGAATCAAACTACCGTGTCAATGCGTAACCCGATTCGATTTCGATTTGTTTTTCCTTTTGCAGTATTTTCTTTGTGTCTACTGTACATGGTACATGATTGTAAAGATGCGCGTGGTTTGACGTCACGTCAAACAGCTGATCTAATGTTGGTTGTGGTCGTATAATGGACACACGTAGTTTCAGTTTCTAAATAATCATATTCTCCTTGACTGAACCCATCTTAACAGGAACGTAGATCTAGTGCATCACGATTGGGAAGATTCTACATTGACCGACGAGTAAATGTGACCGTTTTATCGCTTTGACCAACTGCGTTAGAATTTGGTGCAGTTTTGAAAAAGATGTTATGTTGACAAATTGGTTATATAAATATCGGTTTTAAGGCCCGATATTCCAAGACACTAATGTACATATAGTTGAGTAAGGGAATGGAATGAAGTGAGAAAATTGTCAAAATGTGTGCAAGATTAAACAGCTGTTTTAATATTTCAGGCACACATATTAATCTCTATGTTATAACAATGTAATAGTAACCACACACAATATGGATAATTGCTTTCTAAATGACAAAATATATTCATTGTAAAAATGATTTCGTTTTGATGTTTTAATTTGTATTCATTATCTTTTTTTGTACACTGCATTATTTAAATTATCAAATAGTTCGACCATTCACATACGTATGTCATATATACAATATTTTTTGTCATCTATTTTAATATGAATTTGTAAAAATATAAATCTTGCCTAAGATCAAAGTGAATGCATTTGTGTGTGTATTTCGAAAAAGGTTATAATACAAGTTATAATAGGTATATACATTAAGCTTTTTTAGTATTTCACATTTTCGTATTTTTCACTTTCATTTAATCTAGATATTATTTATAATTGTACTGTAAAAACAATGAAATTGCCTTCTTTCACAAGCGAGTGATCGTTTCCTTGTATTAGACATAGCCTACTCTACACTTCTTTAGCTTTCAAATTCAACAATCAAGTGTCCGATAATTTAAAGTTTCAAGCTTTCTTATGACTTACATTCAAACCATTTACAACACCTCGGAAGTATAAGTGGTCTGTGTGATTTCAAAACGGACAGTGGACAAGACGCCGGCAGTGTTGGATGGAGCCAAAGTCTTTAAAGACTTGTCCGTAGTTGTGGTTGTTGACAGCCTTGCAGAAACAACTGAAACGAAACAACAGAAACAACTGAAACAACGAAACAATGCAACAACAGAAACAATGAAACAATACAACAGAAACAACGAAACAATAAAACAAGTAAACAAAAGAAACAAGGAAACAACAGAAACAACGAACAACATGCGGTTGTGAGGGAATGTTGTTTTGCGCAATATCCCAGGTGGTCTTTTCACGAAGCTGTCTTAACTTATCTTATCTTAACTTTCGACAGAAATTAAGTCAGGGTCGGAGTTTACCGAAGTTACTATGGTGGCCAAAAGATGGCATGTTGAAGAAAGCGATTCTACAATTTGGGCCTGTTGTATCATCCCTGAACACAAAAACGAGTGGTTTCAACTTGAATTTACAAAACTCGAACAGCAGATGGTAGCAAACACCACTGATGAAAGTTAACAATCATTCCATACAAAATGTTACGCGTTACAGTCGTTGGCTCCCAAAACAACACACCTGTCTCGTATATTTCTGTTGAAACACCAGCAGGGTTTTTACAAGCTATCGCAATGACCGTGACCTTTGCTTGTCACGGGCAGTTAATGTATATAGAATGAGGGTGGTTTCCCATTAACTACGAATACAACGTATGAAATATATAGCGTCTAATGGGGTGAACACCTTGTCGATTATGTACAGTGGGATCACATGCTGTTTGAAAATCATTCAGTCCATGAATGAATGTTCCACTTCGGATGCTAAAAGAAAACGATTAATGTTTAATCTTCGCGATCGGTGTTCTTAAGATATATAAAGTCGGTTTACAATCTAGGTTGGTTGGTTCATCCCACATCCCTTCCCAAGTGATCAGGGGGCACGGGGGCCCAGTCGTCTAAGGCGCCGCAATTCGCTGTGCAGAGTTGCCACCCTTGGGCACGCCAGAAACCTATGATTGTGGGTTCGAATCCTGGTTCGCCACGATTATGTTTCTAGGTTTGTCAGCACCATACCCGTGCTCGTGGGTTTCACCGAAGTGGTAAACGTCTGAGACCTGCATCACTTCGGGCTTTCCTCCCACATAAGCTGACACGCCGCGATATAACTGGAATACCGTTAAAAGCGGCGTTAAACCAAATTTACTCACTCACTCACTCACTCACTCACTCACTCACTCCCAAATGATCGACTTTGCTGTCGGGGAGCGTTGCATAAACCACGTCTCAGCTGCGGGACATCCTTGGATGCGCCATTGTCACATGCTCCGGGTTCCCATCTCACACACAGCCAGCTAAAGGATGTTTGTTCAATATGTTTGATGCAATCTCTCTGGGTTTTTTTATTATTCCGATACAACGCATGTATTTCTTGTCCTGGTGGGTAGTGTTAACCTAAAGGATATCCCACAGAAATCGTGACTCTATAACAATAAGAAGCACATACTGGGTATGTCTTATTTTCATTTCTCCAGGGAGAAGTTCACGGATGAAACTAGCATCAGTGAAATACAACTCGCGAACTTTCAAGATTTGTTTTACTTCAAAGATGCCCAGAGGACATGCATAAACAACCATACTATGTGTTCCATAAAATCAGTATTCTTACGAATATTTATGTATTGTTATGAATATTATATTTATTTATACAGCAGTATATTTGATTCATGAAAATAGAAGTTGGGGTCAAGTGATACAAACATTTGTGAATCAAACTACCGTGTCAATGCGTAACCCGATTCGATTTCGATTTGTTTTTCCTTTTGCAGTATTTTCTTTGTGTCTACTGTACATGGTACATGATTGTAAAGATGCGCGTGGTTTGACGTCACGTCAAACAGCTGATCTAATGTTGGTTGTGGTCGTATAATGGACACACGTAGTTTCAGTTTCTAAATAATCATATTCTCCTTGACTGAACCCATCTTAACAGGAACGTAGATCTAGTGCATCACGATTGGGAAGATTCTACATTGACCGACGAGTAAATGTGACCGTTTTATCGCTTTGACCAACTGCGTTAGAATTTGGTGCAGTTTTGAAAAAGATGTTATGTTGACAAATTGGTTATATAAATATCGGTTTTAAGGCCCGATATTCCAAGACACTAATGTACATATAGTTGAGTAAGGGAATGGAATGAAGTGAGAAAATTGTCAAAATGTGTGCAAGATTAAACAGCTGTTTTAATATTTCAGGCACACATATTAATCTCTATGTTATAACAATGTAATAGTAACCACACACAATATGGATAATTGCTTTCTAAATGACAAAATATATTCATTGTAAAAATGATTTCGTTTTGATGTTTTAATTTGTATTCATTATCTTTTTTTGTACACTGCATTATTTAAATTATCAAATAGTTCGACCATTCACATACGTATGTCATATATACAATATTTTTTGTCATCTATTTTAATATGAATTTGTAAAAATATAAATCTTGCCTAAGATCAAAGTGAATGCATTTGTGTGTGTATTTCGAAAAAGGTTATAATACAAGTTATAATAGGTATATACATTAAGCTTTTTTAGTATTTCACATTTTCGTATTTTTCACTTTCATTTAATCTAGATATTATTTATAATTGTACTGTAAAAACAATGAAATTGCCTTCTTTCACAAGCGAGTGATCGTTTCCTTGTATTAGACATAGCCTACTCTACACTTCTTTAGCTTTCAAATTCAACAATCAAGTGTCCGATAATTTAAAGTTTCAAGCTTTCTTATGACTTACATTCAAACCATTTACAACACCTCGGAAGTATAAGTGGTCTGTGTGATTTCAAAACGGACAGTGGACAAGACGCCGGCAGTGTTGGATGGAGCCAAAGTCTTTAAAGACTTGTCCGTAGTTGTGGTTGTTGACAGCCTTGCAGAAACAACTGAAACGAAACAACAGAAACAACTGAAACAACGAAACAATGCAACAACAGAAACAATGAAACAATACAACAGAAACAACGAAACAATAAAACAAGTAAACAAAAGAAACAAGGAAACAACAGAAACAACGAACAACATGCGGTTGTGAGGGAATGTTGTTTTGCGCAATATCCCAGGTGGTCTTTTCACGAAGCTGTCTTAACTTATCTTATCTTAACTTTCGACAGAAATTAAGTCAGGGTCGGAGTTTACCGAAGTTACTATGGTGGCCAAAAGATGGCATGTTGAAGAAAGCGATTCTACAATTTGGGCCTGTTGTATCATCCCTGAACACAAAAACGAGTGGTTTCAACTTGAATTTACAAAACTCGAACAGCAGATGGTAGCAAACACCACTGATGAAAGTTAACAATCATTCCATACAAAATGTTACGCGTTACAGTCGTTGGCTCCCAAAACAACACACCTGTCTCGTATATTTCTGTTGAAACACCAGCAGGGTTTTTACAAGCTATCGCAATGACCGTGACCTTTGCTTGTCACGGGCAGTTAATGTATATAGAATGAGGGTGGTTTCCCATTAACTACGAATACAACGTATGAAATATATAGCGTCTAATGGGGTGAACACCTTGTCGATTATGTACAGTGGGATCACATGCTGTTTGAAAATCATTCAGTCCATGAATGAATGTTCCACTTCGGATGCTAAAAGAAAACGATTAATGTTTAATCTTCGCGATCGGTGTTCTTAAGATATATAAAGTCGGTTTACAATCTAGGTTGGTTGGTTCATCCCACATCCCTTCCCAAGTGATCAGGGGGCACGGGGGCCCAGTCGTCTAAGGCGCCGCAATTCGCTGTGCAGAGTTGCCACCCTTGGGCACGCCAGAAACCTATGATTGTGGGTTCGAATCCTGGTTCGCCACGATTATGTTTCTAGGTTTGTCAGCACCATACCCGTGCTCGTGGGTTTCACCGAAGTGGTAAACGTCTGAGACCTGCATCACTTCGGGCTTTCCTCCCACATAAGCTGACACGCCGCGATATAACTGGAATACCGTTAAAAGCGGCGTTAAACCAAATTTACTCACTCACTCACTCACTCACTCACTCACTCCCAAATGATCGACTTTGCTGTCGGGGAGCGTTGCATAAACCACGTCTCAGCTGCGGGACATCCTTGGATGCGCCATTGTCACATGCTCCGGGTTCCCATCTCACACACAGCCAGCTAAAGGATGTTTGTTCAATATGTTTGATGCAATCTCTCTGGGTTTTTTTATTATTCCGATACAACGCATGTATTTCTTGTCCTGGTGGGTAGTGTTAACCTAAAGGATATCCCACAGAAATCGTGACTCTATAACAATAAGAAGCACATACTGGGTATGTCTTATTTTCATTTCTCCAGGGAGAAGTTCACGGATGAAACTAGCATCAGTGAAATACAACTCGCGAACTTTCAAGATTTGTTTTACTTCAAAGATGCCCAGAGGACATGCATAAACAACCATACTATGTGTTCCATAAAATCAGTATTCTTACGAATATTTATGTATTGTTATGAATATTATATTTATTTATACAGCAGTATATTTGATTCATGAAAATAGAAGTTGGGGTCAAGTGATACAAACATTTGTGAATCAAACTACCGTGTCAATGCGTAACCCGATTCGATTTCGATTTGTTTTTCCTTTTGCAGTATTTTCTTTGTGTCTACTGTACATGGTACATGATTGTAAAGATGCGCGTGGTTTGACGTCACGTCAAACAGCTGATCTAATGTTGGTTGTGGTCGTATAATGGACACACGTAGTTTCAGTTTCTAAATAATCATATTCTCCTTGACTGAACCCATCTTAACAGGAACGTAGATCTAGTGCATCACGATTGGGAAGATTCTACATTGACCGACGAGTAAATGTGACCGTTTTATCGCTTTGACCAACTGCGTTAGAATTTGGTGCAGTTTTGAAAAAGATGTTATGTTGACAAATTGGTTATATAAATATCGGTTTTAAGGCCCGATATTCCAAGACACTAATGTACATATAGTTGAGTAAGGGAATGGAATGAAGTGAGAAAATTGTCAAAATGTGTGCAAGATTAAACAGCTGTTTTAATATTTCAGGCACACATATTAATCTCTATGTTATAACAATGTAATAGTAACCACACACAATATGGATAATTGCTTTCTAAATGACAAAATATATTCATTGTAAAAATGATTTCGTTTTGATGTTTTAATTTGTATTCATTATCTTTTTTTGTACACTGCATTATTTAAATTATCAAATAGTTCGACCATTCACATACGTATGTCATATATACAATATTTTTTGTCATCTATTTTAATATGAATTTGTAAAAATATAAATCTTGCCTAAGATCAAAGTGAATGCATTTGTGTGTGTATTTCGAAAAAGGTTATAATACAAGTTATAATAGGTATATACATTAAGCTTTTTTAGTATTTCCCATTTTCGTATTTTTCACTTTCATTTAATCTAGATATTATTTATAATTGTACTGTAAAAACAATGAAATTGCCTTCTTTCACAAGCGAGTGATCGTTTCCTTGTATTAGACATAGCCTACTCTACACTTCTTTAGCTTTCAAATTCAACAATCAAGTGTCCGATAATTTAAAGTTTCAAGCTTTCTTATGACTTACATTCAAACCATTTACAACACCTCGGAAGTATAAGTGGTCTGTGTGATTTCAAAACGGACAGTGGACAAGACGCCGGCAGTGTTGGATGGAGCCAAAGTCTTTAAAGACTTGTCCGTAGTTGTGGTTGTTGACAGCCTTGCAGAAACAACTGAAACGAAACAACAGAAACAACTGAAACAACGAAACAATGCAACAACAGAAACAATGAAACAATACAACAGAAACAACGAAACAATAAAACAAGTAAACAAAAGAAACAAGGAAACAACAGAAACAACGAACAACATGCGGTTGTGAGGGAATGTTGTTTTGCGCAATATCCCAGGTGGTCTTTTCACGAAGCTGTCTTAACTTATCTTATCTTAACTTTCGACAGAAATTAAGTCAGGGTCGGAGTTTACCGAAGTTACTATGGTGGCCAAAAGATGGCATGTTGAAGAAAGCGATTCTACAATTTGGGCCTGTTGTATCATCCCTGAACACAAAAACGAGTGGTTTCAACTTGAATTTACAAAACTCGAACAGCAGATGGTAGCAAACACCACTGATGAAAGTTAACAATCATTCCATACAAAATGTTACGCGTTACAGTCGTTGGCTCCCAAAACAACACACCTGTCTCGTATATTTCTGTTGAAACACCAGCAGGGTTTTTACAAGCTATCGCAATGACCGTGACCTTTGCTTGTCACGGGCAGTTAATGTATATAGAATGAGGGTGGTTTCCCATTAACTACAAATACAACGTATGAAATATATAGCGTCTAATGGGGTGAACACCTTGTCGATTATGTACAGTGGGATCACATGCTGTTTGAAAATCATTCAGTCCATGAATGAATGTTCCACTTCGGATGCTAAAAGAAAACGATTAATGTTTAATCTTCGCGATCGGTGTTCTTAAGATATATAAAGTCGGTTTACAATCTAGGTTGGTTGGTTCATCCCACATCCCTTCCCAAGTGATCAGGGGGCACGGGGGCCCAGTCGTCTAAGGCGCCGCAATTCGCTGTGCAGAGTTGCCACCCTTGGGCACGCCAGAAACCTATGATTGTGGGTTCGAATCCTGGTTCGCCACGATTATGTTTCTAGGTTTGTCAGCACCATACCCGTGCTCGTGGGTTTCACCGAAGTGGTAAACGTCTGAGACCTGCATCACTTCGGGCTTTCCTCCCACATAAGCTGACACGCCGCGATATAACTGGAATACCGTTAAAAGCGGCGTTAAACCAAATTTACTCACTCACTCACTCACTCACTCACTCCCAAATGATCGACTTTGCTGTCGGGGAGCGTTGCATAAACCACGTCTCAGCTGCGGGACATCCTTGGATGCGCCATTGTCACATGCTCCGGGTTCCCATCTCACACACAGCCAGCTAAAGGATGTTTGTTCAATATGTTTGATGCAATCTCTCTGGGTTTTTTTATTATTCCGATACAACGCATGTATTTCTTGTCCTGGTGGGTAGTGTTAACCTAAAGGATATCCCACAGAAATCGTGACTCTATAACAATAAGAAGCACATACTGGGTATGTCTTATTTTCATTTCTCCAGGGAGAAGTTCACGGATGAAACTAGCATCAGTGAAATACAACTCGCGAACTTTCAAGATTTGTTTTACTTCAAAGATGCCCAGAGGACATGCATAAACAACCATACTATGTGTTCCATAAAATCAGTATTCTTACGAATATGTATGTATTGTTATGAATATTATATTTATTTATACAGCAGTATATTTGATTCATGAAAATAGAAGTTGGGGTCAAGTGATACAAACATTTGTGAATCAAACTACCGTGTCAATGCGTAACCCGATTCGATTTCGATTTGTTTTTCCTTTTGCAGTATTTTCTTTGTGTCTACTGTACATGGTACATGATTGTAAAGATGCGCGTGGTTTGACGTCACGTCAAACAGCTGATCTAATGTTGGTTGTGGTCGTATAATGGACACACGTAGTTTCAGTTTCTAAATAATCATATTCTCTTTGACTGAACCCATCTTAACAGGAACGTAGATCTAGTGCATCACGATTGGGAAGATTCTACATTGACCGACGAGTAAATGTGACCGTTTTATCGCTTTGACCAACTGCGTTAGAATTTGGTGCAGTTTTGAAAAAAATGTTATGTTGACAAATTGGTTATATAAATATCGGTTTTAGGGCCCGATATTCCAAGACACTAATGTACATATAGTTGAGTAAGGGAATGGAATGAAGTGAGAAAATTGTCAAAATGTGTGCAAGATTAAACAGCTGTTTTAATATTTCAGGCACACATATTAATCTCTATGTTATAACAATGTAATAGTAACCACACACAATATGGATAATTGCTTTCTAAATGACAAAATATATTCATTGTAAAAATGATTTCGTTTTGATGTTTTAATTTGTATTCATTATCTTTTTTTGTACACTGCATTATTTAAATTATCAAATAGTTCGACCATTCACATACGTATGTCATATATACAATATTTTTTGTCATCTATTTTAATATGAATTTGTAAAAATATAAATCTTGCCTAAGATCAAAGTGAATGCATTTGTGTGTGTATTTCGAAAAAGGTTATAATACAAGTTATAATAGGTATATACATTAAGCTTTTTTAGTATTTCACATTTTCGTATTTTTCACTTTCATTTAATCTAGATATTATTTATAATTGTACTGTAAAAACAATGAAATTGCCTTCTTTCACAAGCGAGTGATCGTTTCCTTGTATTAGACATAGCCTACTCTACACTTCTTTAGCTTTCAAATTCAACAATCAAGTGTCCGATAATTTAAAGTTTCAAGCTTTCTTATGACTTACATTCAAACCATTTACAACACCTCGGAAGTATAAGTGGTCTGTGTGATTTCAAAACGAAGCGATTCTTGAATCGCATGACAACCGAGTTACGGGTGATCGAAAATAGGTTTGTAGAATAGATTTTCTACCAATGAAAACATTTCAACGCTATTGACCGAATCTACGTGTACTTATTCTTTGGTAATAGTACGTTAGTATAATCTTATTAATTATTTAGAAATAATAATGATGTCCGATATTGAGCGATCACCATTAATTATTTATTTTCCTTTGAAACTTTCCGATGTCATTTCACCCCGAAGTTGTTTCTATCACTGAGGATTGGTTGGTTGGTTGGTTTTATTTAACACATTCTGGTGCTGCCATAGTACGATTAATGTAGAAAAGTAGTAAACTTACAATATCGGTAGGTTTACCGACAGCAGGGCGGTGCATTTATCTTTTGGATTTGCTGCAGAGATACTCTTGGAAAGACAATCGACTCAAGTTGCATGTTTTTCAATTTGGTTTCACTGTGCGCATAAATTAGAATGGTGTAACACCTGTGATACAATGTATACGTTCTTGAAACCGCGACGTCCTTCCAGCCGTATGCAAAGCCAGCTGACGGCCAGGCACCATGAGTGTTAGGAAGTGCGCTCCTATCGCCCTAACTTCTTAGACAAATTATTTCAGACATATTGCAAGTTGCAGATGTGTTTCTGATACAAATGGAGAGAACATTGCAAAATGGGCGATCCCATATAGTGATCGCAACGTTACTACATATTGCCCCGTGGTTTTATGCAGCGCTCACCTGACAGTGAATTCGGTGTTGCAAGCGTTTATGTATATGTGTCTGTGTGTGTGCGCGCGTGTGTCCGTGTGTGTGCGTGTCTGTGTGTGTGTCCGTGTTTCTGTGTGTGTCCGTGTGTGTCTGTGTGCGCGCGTGTCCGTGTGTGTGTCCGTGTGTCTGTGTTTCTGTGTGTGTCCGTGTGTGTGTGCGCGCGTGTGTGTGCGTGTTTCTGTGTGTGTCCGTGTGTGTGTGTGCGCGTGTGCGTCCGTGTGTGTGTATGGGTGTGCGCGTGTGTGTTTCCGTGTGTCTGTGTGTGTCCGTGTCTCTGTGTGCGCGCGCGCGTGTATGTGTCTGTCTGTGTGTGCTCGCGCGTGTCCGTGTGTGTCAATGTGTATGTGTGTTTATGTATATGTGTCCGTGTGTGTGTATGTGTGCGTGCGTGTGTGCGTGTGAGATAATGTGAAGACCTGAGAGTCACTAGTGTACAGTAGCACATAGCACGTAGACATTCACGCAATAATGAATCGATACTCATTGTTCTCCTACATGTTTCAGTTTTATCTTCAGGAAGAAAGGATCACAGTTATAACGTCGGTATATTATGACGTCAAACTAGCCAAAATTCTATTTTTACTGTGCATGGAATCAGCAGTATTCATTTTAAAGAAAGTGAACATCTAAAAGTATATTTTCTTCCATCGAATTATAGCAGTTGTAACAATGATAAAAAACGCCAAAATCGTAACTAAAAAGAGAAATAAACATGCACCAAATTCTAATCATGTGTTGTCTACAGAATACAGTGTCTACGACTGTAAACGAAAAACGAATTCAAATACACATGTAAGGTCTCACCTTGACAGCTCCGAAGAATACGTTGGACACACGGAGTGTTTAAAAGCCAGAATGCACGTCAATGTACAACAGATATATAGAGAATACTAAACGAGCTCCCGTGTAATACCAATTTTATGAAACTAGTGAATAGTTCTGGTATCCGACGAGAGACAATACACTATGACGTAGTTTTTGGATTTTTTTTGCAAGACCCACCAGCGAAACAATGCCATATGACGTCAGCCTAGCAACCTATAGACCTATTCTACCCCAGATCTTCACGGGTCATAAGCACGCGCTGTGTTATTACACAGTGTGTTAAAATGGTTATCTCTTACTGCCAATTCATAAAAGATAGCAACGCGATAAATCGCAAAGGACAATGAAAAACGAAGCGTGGTTGATATGTTTTAAACCACTGTTCTATCATGACGTCATTTCTAGAGATTTGAACATACGCTCACAATTTGATGACGTCGTAAATTGGTCGAAGTTATTTTTGAGAGGGAAGGGCCTGGTGAATTGTAGCTGGCCAACGCACATAAACGCAGTGGCGGATCGATCCAAAAGGGGGATGCGCTAAATTTATCACTTGAAACCTCAGTGTTCGGAATAGCCCGACAAGAGTCGTCGGAATATCCCGATAAGAGAGTTCGGAATAACCCGATAAGAGTGTTCGGAATAACCCGACACGGGTCGTTGGCGGAGCTGATCACTGTTTGAAGATCAATGTACACAATGTTCAAAAACATTAATCGTGTCACCTAGACAGACACACGTACACGATACAGTTAATGTCACAGGGGTACAAAAATGTCAGTATCGGTTGTGCCCACCACGTGCATCAATCACCGCTTGACACCGACGACCCATAGATGCAATCAAGTTGTCAATAACACGCTGTTGGCTGTGCTGCCATTCATGCTGAAGTGCATTAAGAAGCGCCGAAAGTGTTTGGGGCGGTGGATTCCTTCTGCGAACGCGTCGATCCAACTCGTCCCACAGATGCTCAATCGGGGACAAATCTGGTGACCGGGCTGACCAAGATAATGTCTGGATGTTGTTGTGCTGTAAGAAGTCCTGAAAAACACGTGCAATATGCCTTCGAGCGTTGTCCAGCTGGAACTGTCCGCCATGAACGTTGACGTGAGGAAGAACGTAAGGCTGTAGGATCAAGTCTCTGTAACGCACACCTGTCAATGCACCTGCCACATGCACAAGAGGCGTCCTACCACCGTGATGAATTCCGGCCCATACCATGACACTCCCGCCGCCAAATGGGACAACCTGCTGCACACAGTTGGGGGCGTAACGTTCACCCCGACGTCTGTGGACACGTGCGCGCCCATCAGCACGTGTGAGTAGGAAACGGGACTCGTTAGTAAACAGTACATTTCTCCACCTTGCACATGCCCATCTAACCCTCAGTTGGCACCAAAGCAGACGGTCCGCCAATTGACGTGGGGTCAATACATGACGTCGAACAGGTCTTCGTGCAAAAAGTCCAGCCTCCCTCAGTCTGTTGCGTAACGTTTGATCTGATATTCTGCGTACCCCAGGGATCTGTGTGGTTGTAGACTTGGCTATGGTAGTGCGGTCTCGGAGGTGTCGCAGCCGGATGTATCGATCTTGTGCTTGGGTTGTCACCCTTGGTCTTTCTGACCTTGGTCTGTCGTCAACTCTGTTGGTGTTGTTGTATCGGGTCCACAGTGCGGAGATTGTCTGTCTGGATACGCCAAAGTGCCTGGCCACTTGCTGAGTTGCTCCAGCTTGTAATCTCCCAATGGCGTTGTTCCGTTGAGCTGCATTCAGTCTTGGCATTCTGTCAACGCCTCTACTGCCGTTATAAGGACTGTATGAACAGCCGTTGATGTGGATTTTTATACCCATTCAGCAGGGGGGCCTGCATGCCTAAATGCAGGATCCTGTGCTGCACGTTTTTTACAGGCGGTTGCGTTTGGATGACGCTGTAAAATTGATCCCCAAACGCTACGTTTATGTGCTTTGCATGGGTTTTCGCGAATTATAGACACATCATCTTTCTGTTTGCCTTTTTTGGTTCTCATTTAATGTAATTATTTTATATATTTGGCAAAAAGTTGTTTTACATCTATGTCAAGTTTTTTATTTTGAAGAGTATATATAAAAGTTAATGTTTGACAAATCGTAGCCGGATTACACACTACTGATCCCAAAAACGTCAACTTTGAAATCTCCCATCTTACCCCTATCGTCCTTCAAGCTCGTTGGCAGTCATGACATCTACTGTCATGGTTCACTACCGGTTGTAATGTGTTCCTACTTTGTTCATTATTATCATACAACTATAACTAGAAACTATTATCTCTTACAAATATATATTACAACATATCTCATAAGGCTGTAAGGTGAATTCACACGATACAACTAATTATACAACAAGTTGTACCGAGTGATGCCCCTGAAGAAACTTACTTCTTTGTATCGTGGACGCTTCTGATGAGCCAGCTGTGGGTTGAAGAGAGAACAGTCACAAAAAGGACCAGGGTTCCTAGCGCGCGGCTGCCATGATGTCCAGTGCCGAGCGCTCGCTATGTCATGCTCCGAACACAAATGGGTTTTAGTATGATCCGAATGCTTGGGTTTGACACCAGCACATAATTCATTTTCACACCTGTCCTATATTGCTGATTTGGGCTTTTATGTTGCAAGTAAATGGACTTCATACATACTGGTAAAGGGTAAATGGGTTTCACAGATATACAGGCCTTATCAGTTGTGATTAATGGGTTTGTCGCCGTTGCTGAAAGCCATGAACTGGGTAGGCGAGAATACATACTAGCGGCGACATGGGTTTGACGCCCGACAAGGATGTGGTGGTTTATTGGTTCTATTTATCATTGTCTGTATGTAATTGCCGATTGATAAACGATAAATATCCATCATTTCATAGCCCCGAACCCACGAATATCGGAAAACATTTGCTGATTGTTGAACAACTAGACGCACTAATAAAACAATATAGGAAACATTGCCTTTTGCTGAACACCTAGACGTGGATATTGCATGATATTGGAAACTTGCTGATGTTTGAACAACTAGACGCACTGATAACACTATATAGAAAATATGCTGAGTTTTGAACAACTAGACATACTTATAACACAATATAGGAAACATCGCTGATTGCTGAACAACTAGACGCACTGATAACACTATGTAGGAAACATTGCTGAATGCCGAACAACTACACGCATTTATAAAACTATGTAGGAAACATCGCTGATTGCTGAACAACTAGACGTATTTATAACACTATGTAGGAAACATCGCTGATTGCTGAACAACTAGACGCACTGATAACACTATATAGAAAAATTGCTGAATGCTGAACAACGAGACGTACTTGTAACACAATATAGGAAACATCGCTGATTGCCAAAATTCAAGAATAACAAGAATATATAAATAGATAAAGGATCACCTTGTCTACATCCTCATGTTACTATTAAAAAAATCTGAAGCAACACCTTTTACTAAAACACTAGATTTTATAGCGTGATAGAAGGTTGTTATCCAGGGCATAACTTAAGGTCCAAAGTTAAAAAAGTCTACGCTTCTTGAATGAAATCCCAATCAACTAATAACAATCCTGGAATTTCCGTACTATCGTAAATTGATCTAGTTCATTTTCTTTTTAATTATATTTGCTATCAAAGGAGACATTTAATAGTAAAACTGGTCCTCTCACATACAGCCCATCAAGTTGCGAGCGCATGTTCGAATCCTCAGAAATGACGTCATGATAGAAATATGTCTTATCGTGAAATAAACCACGCTTCGTTCTTCATTTTTCTTTCCGACTTATCGCGTAGCTATTTTATAAAACTTGATAACGTCCTCATATTGCTTGACGACGGGCCATTATCACGCCCGTTGTTAGTTGACGTCATATGACGTTCAATAGTGACATCATCTGGTTTGTTCTTTGACGTTTCCATATTTGTCAGTGACATTCGTTGTGTGTTGATTGCAGTAAATGTTTCAAAACCGATATTGCCGGCTATTGTTGTTAATTTTATTTGATAACAAATGCTATCCATTTTAGCTATAATCACAGTAACGCTATTTTTCAGGGCATTATCATTTGCAGAAGCCCTTGGTCTCTCCAACTGTCCTTCTTCGTCAAATGATAATGCCCAGCGTTACCTTTATATTATTGCCCCAAGGTCCTAGAAATAGAAATATCGCTAATAAATGTATGAGTGTTCCTACTTTCTTTACCTGATGAAAAACTCCAAACACGTAGCCCCACTGAACACGCATTATGCATGTGAATCGCACCCTTCGACAGCAGTTGTACACAGATGCCTTAAATAGTTCGATACTAACAAATAAAATGTTAAAACTAAAATGTCTCCCTTCTCCCATGTTTTTAAAAAATCAGTTAAACTGATTTTATTAATTTATTTCGGCCTTAGCATCTACATGTTAGGCAAGCTTATACTGGAAATGTACCCCAATACACAGCCTGAGGGACCGGCATGGGTCCAGTGTTTAGTGTTAGTATTTACTGTTTGGGTTAAGCAGTGTTTGGTGTCTAGCCGGGAGAGCCACATTTCAGAAATGGCTATTGCCGGTAGAGCCACATTTTCATCTGAGTGCATTTCACCTATTCTAGCGGGTAATTAATTAATCCGATTACCCATACCTTTATATGAGTGTCCCACATTTAAATTACTAAGCGTGGTGTATTTCCTGGGACATTAGTTAGAGGGTGTTTCTTTCACTTCACCCAATGTATCTGGAGGAGGGTGCAGAAAGAAGGTCTGGTGATGGACTATAAGGAAGATGAGGAGGTGAAGAAACTGGTGAAAAGAGCTGCTGCCCTCCCTCTAGTACCTCGTGACAAAGTGGATGATGTGTGGCTTGATGCCATTGCTGACTCTCCTGCTGGCCCTAAAGTGACTGCCTTCATGGACTACGTGACAACCAGTTTGGTTCAAGAAGGGGCCTTCATGCCAGTTATTTGGAACCATTTCGAAAACCAAGGCCACCGTACCAACAATCACCTGGAAGGGTGGCACAACAAGATAAAGAAACTTGTCAAGAAGTGCCACCCGAACATCTACGAGGTAGTGAAGCTATTTCAGCGAGAGCAGTCACTCAAAAAGGTTGCAGTCCTGAGACTCTCTCACCAGTGGCCAGAACCTTCACGAAGAAAGAAGTACAAGGCAATCGATGCACGTATTGCGTCCCTCAAGATCCAGCTCCTGAACCAACACCTGAGTGAGATGGAATATGCTGACCACGTGGGCGACCTCCTTCATCTGCAGTAATGACATTAAATCCATTATGATATTCATAGGCTATTCATATTCATCAATGTAAAGTTTTGATGAATATGTTATCCTTGTTGAATAAAAAATGAGAAAACAATACTTGTTTTGTTATATACGGTAACCTGTTAGAATCACAAAGCATGTTTTGACAGCATAGCCGCGAGAGCCACATTATACAATCACGCAACCATAACCATTGCCGCGAGGGCCACATCAATTTGGGCTATCTATTTTCGAAATGTGGCTTTGCCGGCCTGTAACCGTTTATATTGTGTGCTTTTGATTTTGAAATTAAAATGTAAGAACATTTGACATTATTTGCGTTTATGCTATTTAGGCTGAAACATTTTAATATTCATTCTTCCTCTTAGTATTTTACTGGAGGAGTTGGTTCAGACCAGTGTTGTAAATTATCAGTGACACATAAAAGTAGCTGATGCGAGTATGACAATAGGTGACCGATACATGATTTGATTATGGTGAAGCGCAGCTTGATATTGAGTCAATAATGATGTATGGTTACTATTGTTTTCCCCAAGAGTTGGTCACAAATGACATGAATAAATTGAACACTTCCATTCATTTAAATGACAACAAACAAATGAGGGACTGTATTCACTTTTCAGCACTTATTTCATGAAAATACATTTCAAGTTCAACTTAAATTGTTAGTGTCTGACACTTGTTTGAATAAACAGAATCAAACTTTTCCAAGTATTATTATTTTACAAAATAATCTACTGATAGTGATAAGAACACATAATTGTGAATGTGATATGTAATTAAATATGTTTGATTCTAAATTTACGCATAAAAGGGTGGTATTGATAGCGCTGTGTCGAGATACGTATCGTATCGTGACCTCATAATCGAGTTACGTATCGTATCGTGAGGTACCTAAAACGTGAAACCATTAAATATGTTTGATTCCAAATTTACGCATAAAAGGGTGGTATTGCTGTATCGAGATACGTATCGTATCGTGACCTCAGAATCGAGATACGTATCGTATCGTGAGGTACCTATAACGTGACACCCCTAAAAAGGACAAACATAGATCTCTGAAAACCAGTGTATCATCCTTGATTATGTCAAACACATTATTTGAGAGGATCAATTGTGGAACAACTGCAAATGACACTGAGATGTTATTGAAAATAATAAATGTAACTAGCAATGATCTTTGCTTTTCCATTATGTTATTTCTACACCATACAGGAATATATGCAAGAAAATAAACGTCCGAGATAGTCTAACGCGGCTGTGTTATAATACAATTAAGTTGGGTAGTCATAATGTCAGTAAGCCATACGTCCTAAAACATATGCATTTTTATACAATGTCGTCCCGGAGGACGAGACGCTTGCTACTCGCAAGAAGAGTCACACATAAAATATTAGTTCACATACTGTGTCCTCATTCAAAGACAGCAGTACAGCTTGCACAGACACAGGTTTAATCGTCTGTTACCATTTTATTTACCACACGTTACTGCTGCTGCTATACTAGTACAGTAGAAGTAGTAGTAGTAGTAGTCTTAAATAAATATCTCCCACGTGCAAAGTTTGACACAAACTAAAACACTAACACTATACACTCTTACACACTAAGACAATACCTTATTGGTGTCCCTAAAAACACATATATCGTCCTATTTTTTAGAAACCTGAAGTATTGACCTTTTTCACAGACCGGCGTCATATAGCTGGAAAATTGCTGCGTGCGGCGTTGAACAACAAACTAACAAAACAAAACACTTCGCCTCTGCCGTTTGAAAGTGACGCTTGCAGTGGATGATGTGAAGGCTGGGTAGCGCATGGCGACGTCAACAAGGCACAAGCTGCGGGACAAACTGTGACAATGTGGCCTTCCCGATACGCGCACAGCAATATTTATCCTGAGTATACAACATCGCACATTCTTACCATTGACAAAATATTCAGCTCACTCCTTTAATTGAGATTATTTAGCAATAAGTCAGGCCGTTCTATTGTGATTTCAAATTCAAATGTCCATGACGACCTCGGAACTCCCAGTGAAGTCGTTGCGGAACGCCGACTTAATACACATTCTTCTGGCACTGTGTCATAAATAATTCACTGTTTACATACCATTCACCAAATTAATTTTTTTAGTTGTTTTAGTCAAGTGTGAGTCCGAATAACTTCAATATTAGGCGAGTTCAATATTTAGCAGCTGGGCCTTCAGCAAGTAGAAAATATTGACGTTTGACCACCTCTAGATAGATATAAGAAATTAATAATATTGATGGGTTGATTTTATCTATCTTATTGAAGCCTGTTAAGAATTCCGCTTCGTCTATTTCTTTTCAA